AACAAAAAAACGAACAGAGAGGTAGAAACTACCTACAATCCCAAGGAAACAAGCAAACATCACACTTTACTGCTGCGCCAATCGTTCGTGCAGCCCTCCCCACCCCGAGAGGGGGAGGGGGAAGCTCCGGACATCACCGCGCCGGCTGCCTAGCATCAGTTCGGAAGTTAAGCCTCAACCAACGCGAAAAAAACGCCGGCCGGTGGGAGGGAGGGTTGCCAGCTCGTTTGGCAACGAGCCACGCAGAACTGGTACTGATGAGGTACACCTGGCCACCGCACAACACAACACATGGCAGTGAACGCCACACAAGGCAAACACCGCCTAGGAAACTGAGGCCAGAGAAGTGTCTATCCCAGTTGACATTGGCTTACGAACTGATGCTAGGCAGCCGGCGCGGTGAGGTCCGGGTTTCCCCCTCCCCCTCTCGGAACGGGGAGGGCTGCGCGGACGATCGGTGCGGCAGTAAAGTGTGATCTTTGCTCGTTTCCTTGGGATTCTAAGGAGTTTCTACCTCTCTGTTCGGGTTTTTTGTTTTAATTTTTTACCATGTGGGGTTTGTTTTGTTATGCATACCTTTCTGGGTGCCTAACCCTGTCTGATGGCAGATAAGGAAAATCCCAACCACAAAGGGGTTTTCCAGGGTCATTGCTCCCTGAAACCTCTCTGAACGGGCCAGGTTCTGGAGCTGGTCTCTGGTAGGTCTGAACTTCTTAGCTAAAGTCTCGGTCTAATATAACATATAGCTCCCTGGAGCCCGATAAGCTCCAGGGAGCCATAGGGGCTCCCCACAGAAACAGGCGCTGACTCAGCGTGCGTCCCAGACGGCGGCTCCTCCCCAGCTGTCAGGCAGGAGTGGCCACAAAGAGATTATTACCTAATTATTTCAATGTCTCTGATTGATTTTTCAGTTTTTTTGCTGTAATTAATATTATTCAATAGTGTGTAGTGTGATATATTTATATAATAAAATGTGTGAATCATCGCTGTACTCAAAATTATGGTGTGCATATTGTTGATTCAATTATTATGTTCATCAAACAGTGAAAAAATACTTTGTCAGTTATTACACTATATACACAGGTTATATATAAGTATCTGCATGTTTTGTTCACCTTAACAAACCACTAAGTTGGTATTATAAGTCAAAAAGCAACAAGGAGTGACCGCCATACACCAGCCAGTCACACTCTGCCACTCACTCCCTCAACACCTCACTCCCCCACATTTTCCTCCCATCATACTGTTTTTGCTTTTATTCACTATATACAGATGTTATATATAAGTATCTACATTCGTGTTCACCATAACGAACCACAAAGTTGGCATGCTGAGCGGCAGTGGCAGCCAGTGGCAGCCTGCCACTGGCTGCTACTTCCTCCCTCCCTCAACTCACCTGACTCACCCACATTCTCCTCCCACAATACTGTTTTTGCTTTTATTCACTCTATATAGACGTTATATATAAGTATCTACATGTTTTGTTCATCACAACTGTACAATTAAGTTGATATAGTTAGTTCAGGCACTAAGAGACGTCGCTACTTACAGTCAGGTGGCGGCTGCTTCCCTCACACATTCAAGGTGAGACGCACTAAAATTTCACCCCCAACAATACTATTTGTGGTGTTATTGCCCTATATACAGATGTTATATACAGTGGAACCTCTATTAACGAGCGGCTCTATTAACGAGTTATTCCAGTAACGAGCGAGCCACTCGCAGCAAATCTGTCCCTATTGACGAGCTCACCTCTATTAACGAGCAAAACCACATGGTGTTTCCTAGCGTCTCGCGGGTTCTCGCAAATTCTCTGACGCCAGTGTTGTTGTTGTATCGCATGCGACAAGCATCCCTCTGGATTTATTTGCGCTTTTCTTTGAACTTTTAGTGGTTTTGTGACTACAATTTGTAACGCACTATGTCACCAAAGAAGCTGCTTGCTAAAGATAGTGTTGTCAAGAGGAAGAAAGACACAATTACTGTGGATTTGAAGAAGGAAATTATAGCAAAGCATGAGTGTGGTGCCTGTGTGACTGATCTCACAAGGGAGTATGGCAGGTCCTCATCAACAATTTACACCATTTGTAAAGGGATGAGGAGGTAAGGGAGGATGCTGCCTCTTCCAGTGAGATCAGGGAAGTGTTGGGAATGTTTGAAAAGGTGACTGCATTCTTGGAAAAGCATCACCCTGATAAAGCAGTGACAACCTGGTGTGTGAACATGTTTAATGACAATTTGCTGTATCGTTTAAGGGACATCCTAAAACAAAGACAAAAGCAATTATCAATAGACACGTTCTCTGCAAAAGTAGAGAAAAGAAGAGCCAGTGATAGTGAACCACAACCCGGTCCCAATGGGGTGAAATTCCCAAGAAGAGAGAGCCCACCTGACTCGGAAGTGGATTCTCCTTCCACACCATAACCCCTCTCCTCCTTCCCACCTCCCCATCGTCTCCCTCAAGCCAGCATCGACTCGTCATAAAGTAAAGTAAACATTAAAACAGTACAACAAAACATTCATAATTACATGTGCAGTATTATATTTACATAAAAAAATGTCATACAAGTATGGATGTTTTTGGGAGTGGAACAGATTAAATTTATTTCCTTTATTTTAAATGGAGAAATTTGTTTCTTAAGACGAGTTTTCCAGGTAACGAGCTCAGTGCCAGAACAGATTAAACTCGTTAATAGAGGTTCCACTGTATAAGCATCTACATGTTTTGTTCACCATAACTGTTCAACTAAGCCGGTATAATGCCCAAAGAGCACAGTGGCCACCCCTACCAACATGACAAATCATACAGATGTTGCCATCTGCATGATGCACCCATCACCAAAATGGCTTCTTCCCCGCACTTTTTTTGCCGTTATTACACTGTATATACATGTTATACAGTGGAACCTCTATTAACGAGTGGCTCTATTAACGAGTTTTTCCAGTAACGAGCAAGCCACTCGCAGCAAATTTGTCTCTATTGACGAGCTCGCCTCTATTAACGAGTGAAACCACATGGCGCTTCCTAGCGTCATGCGGGTTCTCGCAAATTCTCGGACGCCTCCGACGCCAGTGTTGTTGTTGTATCTCACACGACAAACATCCCTCTGGATTTATTTGAGCTTTTTTTGGGTTTTTAGTGGTTTTGCGACTACAATTTGTAACACACGATGTCTCCAAAGAAGCTGCTTGCTAAAGATAGTGTTGTCAAGAGGAAGAAAGACACAATTACTGTGGATTTAAAGAAGGAAATTATAGCAAAGCATGAGTGTGGTGTCTGTGTAATTGATCTCACAAGGAAGTATGGCAGGTCCTCATCAACAATTTACACCATTAGTAAGGGAATGAGGAGGTAAGGGAGGATGCTGCCTCTTAAACTGAGATCAGGGAAGTGTTTGGAATGTTTGAAAAGGTGAACGCATTCCTGGAAAAGCTGCCCTGATAAAGCAGTGACAACCCGGTGTGTGAAAATGTTTAATTAATTTATCACTTTGTGATAACACTTTATGAAAGTGTTATCACTTTCGCAGGTATATGTCGCTTGAACGTAACACACTTTTTTTCTCTTGAATGCACCCAAACACCGCGCTCAAGTGTCATTTGAGCAAATATTTCTATAAAATCCAATTCTTATCCGATCGACATGGGGATTGTATACAAGTTTGCCATTAAATTTTCGTTTTCTTTAATAACCACATTGCCTATTTGAGAAAACGGCATTGTATTGTATCTTCGGGGTAAGACTATTATATTGTTGACACAACGAGTGTAATCAACGTAGTTTTTTATTTGGTGCTGGTCTAACGCATCCTTGTGTGACATTTGAAATGAAATTTGGGTGAAATTCCCAAGAGGAAAGAGTCCGCCTGACTCAGAGGTGGATTCTCCTTCCACACCATAACCACTCTCCTCCTTCCCACCTCTCCATCGTCTCCCTCAAGCCAGCAACTACTCTTCATAAGGTAAAGTAAATATTAAAACACTACAACAAAACATTTATATTTACATGTGCAGTATTATATTTACATAAAAAAAAAGTCATACAAGTATGGATGTTTTTGGGAGTGGAACGGATTAAATATATTTCCTTTATTTTAAATGGGGAAATTTGTTTCCAAAGACGAGTCTTCCAGGTAACGAGCTCGGTGCCAGAACGGATTAAACTCGTTAATAGAGGTTCCACTGTATACACGTATCTACATTCGTGTTCACCATAACGAACCACTAAGTTGGTATGCTGAGTGGCAGTGGCAGCCAGTGGTAGCCCGCCACTGGCTACCACTCCCTCCCTCACCTCACCTGACTTGCCACAATTCTCCTCCCACCACACTGTTTTTGCTTTTATATACAGACGTCATGTATAAGTATCTGCATGTTTCGTTCACCATAGCGAACAACTAAGCTGGTATAGTGAGTCCAGACAGTAAAAGGTGGTCACACAGTCAGCAGACAATGCTACCTCCCACCCCACCAAGATTACTCCTCCCACTACAGCGCTAATTATCACAACAATCCTGCTATTATCAGAATCCTGGTCATTTTTATCACAGTCAGGGGTCTTCTGTAATAATATCATCGCTAAATAATAGCATGAACATGTATATTATAGCATTTGTAGGCGATGCTGTGATCACAAGCTGAACAGCAGTGCTGTGAGCTCATGATGCATGCATCAGGCTTGGTGGCTCACTCAATACTGAGGCCCCTCACACCCAGGAATTTGGCCCATGATTTAAAAAAAAAATGGTGTCTGTTTACAAGAGCCCTGATGAAGGTGTGGTGAACCCCGTGTATCCGCGGGCCGTTTAAATCTTGCGTAGTACTCCAATACATCATATGATGAGATGCCCAATTTATAGCAAGTCACTCAACCCATCATATGATGTGTTGTGCAACTTAAGGGTTAAAGCACCAAACAGAACAAATGTACCATCTCTAATTCCCTCACCTGTTAAATACCTGTTTAATTTATTTTCCATTCATTGCATAAAAATACTTACTAATAACATCACAGGCACTTTGTGCAGCTGTCCAGATGATGTGACTGGTTTCACGCCTGATCTTGAGCTTTCCATTTTCTGGCCGATGTCGGTAAGAGAAGCGACGAACAGCCTTGCCAGACTCCAACTGCTGTGCTGTCAACTCCTCCTCCCTGAACAAACTGGGTTGTATCATCTTGCCAGGGAGCACTTTCCCAGGCTGCTAATCCTGTACTGATATTGGAGTGTTAGTAAGTGAAAGGTTCCCAACTAATCATAAACATAACATCAAATGAAAAAGTATTAAACACAAACAGCATAAAGTAATAAGCTATAGTTACTGAAGGGATATTGTTCAGAGGGTTATGATTTTCTTTAACGACATGGCTTGGGATCAGGCGAATGAGACTCGCTAACTACCATTCTGGTAGACAACAAGCTGGAAAACATTCATTAGACCCCCCCCCCCCAGAAGCAAAGGTAACAGTGAACTGACCTGGACAAGCAGATATGCAAAAAGTCAAGAACAATTGCTATAATTCCTGTTGTCGGGTACTGTGGATATAGTACTGTACAGACATACTGTATATATAAGCCCACATCAAGAGGATATCAGCAGCAGCATATGCCAGGTTAGCCAACATAAGAACAGCCTTTAGAAACTTGTTTAAGGAATCATTCAGAATATTGTATACCACATATGTCAGACCAGTCCTGGAGTATGCAGCTCCAGCATGGAGTCTGTAGCTTGTCAAGCCCAAGACTAAATTGGAGAAGGTTCAGAGGTATGTCACCAGACTATTACTTGAGCTGAGGGAGAATGAGCTATGAGATGTGATTATGATAACTAATCCTCACGTCGCTGGAGGACTGAAGAGTTAGGGAAGACATGATCACCACATACAAAATTCTTAGAGGAATTAATAGGGTGGATAAGGACAGTTTATTTAACACAGAGAGCACATGCACTAGGGGACACAGATGGAAATTAAGTACCCAAATGACCCTTAGAGACATTAGAAAGAACCTTTTTAGTGTCAGAGTAGTTAACAAATACAGTAGAATGCATTAGGAAATGATGTGGTGGAGACAGACTTCATTCGCAGTTTCAAATATAGATATGACACAGGTCAATAGGCTCAGGAATCTATACACAGGTTGGTCGACAGTAAGAGAGGCAGGTCGAAAGAGCCGAAGCTCAAGCCCCGCAAGCACAATTAGACAAGTACAGAGCCCTTATGATTATTGACTGTTGGAAGGGAAGTCATGGGCATCTGGGATGAATGAGGTGCCCGGGAACCACTTTTGAGGGGACAGCTCATGATTATGGTAAAAGGTAAGACTGGCTTGTAAGCTTTGTAAAGAGAATGAATTTATATACAGTACTGCATACAACAATTTATTGAGTAAAGATCAACCATACATGTATATTCGGCAGTCTAGAAATTCATTAGTACAGTGGTACCTCGCATAACGATCGCCCCAAAAGGCGAACATTTTGGGTAACGACCGGCGACAAATCGTCCCGTATGGTGAACACTCGTTTGAGTAACGTCAACACCACATGGTGGGGTCGCGCTGCTGCTTGCACATTCTTGGACGCCTCCAACGATGCAAATAAATTATGTTGTTCTTGTTTAAAGATGCTAATGATGCTGGGAAAAAAAGGGGTCACTGCTGAGAAGTTGCAAAGCATTGATGTTTTAGTAGAAAAAAGAAATTTCTGAAATACAACAAATGTCAAAAAGGTTCGTTCGGTGTTTGGCAGGTAGGCTGCTCCATTATAACCATCTTTGTTTCAAATGTGTTCTATTTGTTTTGTATTTGTCATTTACATCTCAATAATGGAGCAGCCTACAGTACACACACTGCACAAACCTTTATGACATTTTTCTTTCTTCAAATTTGTTCAGTATTTATTTTTCATTTGTCTTATAGCAAAAGGTTCATTTGGTGGTCGGCAGGTAGGCTGCTCCATGTTTCTTACATAAAAAACGAAAATAATAATAATAATAAAAAAAAAAAGAATTTTGAAAATCAGAACAAATGTCAAAAAGGTTCGTTCGGTTATCTACAGGTAGGCTGCTCCATGTTTCTTAAATAAAAAAAAATTAAAAATTAAAAAAACAGTTGAAACAATTTGAAAAATGGACAAATGCCATAAAGGTTTGTTCAGTGTTTGTCGGGTAGGCTGCTCCATTATTGAGACGTACATGAAAAATACTAAACATATGGAACACATTTACATTTGAAACAAAGAAAGATTGTTATAATGGAGCAGCATACCCGTCAAACACTGAACGAACCTTTATGGCATTTGTCCATTTTCCAAATTGTTTCAACTGTTCTTTTTATTTTGCGTTTTTTTTATTTAGGACCTACCTGCCGACCACGGAACAAACCTTTTTCTATACGACAAATGAAAAATAAATATTGAACAAATTTGAAGAAAGAAAATGTCATAAAGGTTTGTGCAGTGTATGTAAGGTAGGCTGCTCCATTATTCAAAACATCGAATATCATACTGATGTTTTTCGGTGGTAGAATGGATTAATTTGATTTCCATTAATGTCAATGGGAAAATTCGTTTTGTATGACGTCCATTTCACATGACGACGACGATGCCGGAACGGATTAAATTCGTTATTCGAGATACCACTGTATTTGGTTGAAAATACTGCAAATATTAATTTGAATATTGGAAAGGAAAAACTGCGGAAGTTTAGTCGAGACAAGTGCTGACAATACAGTACAACAACTACTCTGCATCAATTCTCCATCCTTCTTATATTACATATGGATGGAGTGTGACCTGACAGCTTATCCAATGAAAATTGAGGGGCATCCTGTGTGATGATTGGATAGTTTTCTGATCAATCTTCAGGAACAAGCACATCTTTGTAATGTAGACTGTGTTTGGTGTTCTTCATTTGTTGACTGATATTTTGTAATACCAGTATTGTGATCATGTGTGAGGGAAAAGTTATATCAAAGAATTTTAATGAAATCATCAGTTGTTGCTGTATGTATTTCCAGAGTTAATCGATCAGTAGTAATCAACAGAACATATTCTACAATATGTATGTGCATAATGGGCACATATGTGCACACACAATATGTGGCTGTACTGGTGAAAGAATATCTGAAGGTAAGAGTGTTAATATTTGAAAACCCTCGAGATATTGACATAATGGCATTGCAGGTCTGGAATCAGGATGATAAGCTGATAATTTTAAATGCCTACAGCCCACCAGCAAGCAACACTTGGACAAAGGAAGAACTGGATGACAAACGAGAGGGCCTCATAATGGTCATGAGATATATTATTGTACAAGCAGATAAAGATAAATCATAACTGTTGATACTGGGGGACTTCAACTTTAAAGCAATAGACTGGGAGGCCTATGAAACAAGAACGGAGGACTTTTGGACATGCAGATTTGTGAACCTCATTCTGGAGACATTCTTGTATCAACACATAAAGCAGACCACAAGAATGAGGGAAGGAGATGTACCGTCAGTACTGAATCTAGTATTCACCAGGAAAGAAAAAAAAAAGATATATTTGACATCCAGTACCTTCCTCCCTTGGGAAAAAAAAAGAGTGATCACGTCCTGTTAGACATTAAATATGCTTTAGGATATCATCTAGAAGAAAATGGGGACATTGAAACAGTTGATAAACTCTATTTAACAAGAGGTCACTATAGGGAACTTTAAACAAAATTTAATGAGTGTAATTGGACAGACTTGTTGCTAGGCAGGAAAGTATATGAAATGTATGCCAAATTTTGCAAAATATACGATGAAGGCACACAAACATTCATACCAAAACAGAGATGCAGGGCCAGAAAACAGGACTGGTTCAACAGAAATTGCAAGAGGGCCAGAGACCAAAAGACACAAAAATGGAATCAATATAGGAAGAGGCCAGACCCCCAAACATACCAGCGATACAAAGATGCGAGAAACTATACAGCAGTAAGGAGAGGCAGAAAGAAATTTTTAAAAAGGGATAGCGGATAAATGTAAAACAGAACCAGGCCTATTCTACAAATTCATAAACAACAAATTGCAGGTAAAGGATAACATCCAGAGGTTGAAAATGGGAAACAGATTCACGGAAAATGAAAAGGAAATGTGTAAAACATTAAACGAAAAATTCCAAAGTGTGTTTGTACAAAATGAAATCTTCAGAGAACCAGACACAATAAGAATTCCAGAGAACAACATATAGCGTATAGAAGTGTCTAGAGATGAAGTGGAAAATATGCTGAAGGAGCCGAGTAAGAACAAAGCAGTTGGCCCAGATGGAGTTTCACCATGGGTTCTGAGAGAATGTGCATCTGAGCTCAGCATTCCACTTCACCTGATCTTTCAGGCATCCCTGTGTACAGGAGTCGTAGCAGATGTGTGGAAAAAGGCTAACATAGTTCCAATCTACAAAAGTGGCAATAGGGAAGACCCCCTCAATTAAGTTAACACTTTCCTGGATTTTCGACTTGGACTTACGGGCGGTTTCCCTAACCGCTTGTCGGATCACGACGTAAATTTACGGACAGTGTTATATTGGGTATTTACTACTCGATCGACTTGGGGTTTGTATGAATATGTTTGCCATTAAATTTTTGTTTTCTCTAATAGGCACTGTGTCTATTTGAGAAAACGGCAATGTATTGTAACTTAGAGGAGAGACTATTGAATTGGTGTCACAAAGAGGGTAATCGCGCACTCCACACACTCTTGTGTTGGCCGCGATCATGATTCTACATTTATATGCATATGTCTGTGTAGAGAATTTTATTCCGAACACTATACAAACAAAAAAAACGGAGTGAATCAAGTATAAACTTGAAAAAACATGAGCAAAGTAAAAACTTTTTACGCTCACGGGTACAAACACGTGTAAGATTCGCGTAAGATTTTATTCGCCACAAATATATTTGACGCTCTGTTGGCCAATTCTACCCATGTTCTTATAGAACTTTCTATTGCGAACACATTGCTATAGAAATGAAATACGTAGCTCGAGAAATAATGTCATGACAGTGTCATGGCGAGTCATCTTCGTGTTTATTTACTTCGTGGTGGGATAGCAAATGCTTGGGTGACATTTTATGCATATGATCTTGTAGAGAATTTTATTGCCAACGCATTGATATCAAAATGAAAAACGTAGCTCGAGAATTGATGTTAGGAGCGTGAAAAGATGATAAACTTTTTTGTGTTCACGCTTGAGCGCCCAGAATGCCCCGCGCACAACCCGCTTTTTTATTCAGGGAGTGCCGCGCGCACTAAAGTGTTAAAGACCTGTATCATTGACAAGTGTAATAGTGAAAGTATTGGAAAAAATAATAAAAACTTAATGGGTAGAACAGCTGGAGAGAAATGATATAATATCAGACAGACAGTATGGTTTTCGATCAGGAAGATCCAGTGTATTGAATTTACTCAATTTCTATGATCGAGCCACAAAATTTTACAGGAAAGAGATGGTTGGGTTGACTGCATCTATCTGGACCCACAAAAGGCTTTCGACAGAGTTCCACATAAGAGGTTGTTCTTGAAAGTGGAAAATATTGGTGGGGTGACAGGTAAGCTTCTAACATGGATGAAAAATTTTCTTACCGAGAGAAAAATGAGGGCAATAATCAGAGGCAATGTATCGGACTGGAAAAATGTCACAAGTGGAGTACCACAGGGTTCAGTTCTTGCACCAGTGATGTTTATTGTCTACATAAATGATCTACCAGTTGGTATACAGAATTATATGAACATGTTTGCTGATGATGCTAAGATAATAGGAAGGATAAGAAACTTAGATGATTGTCATGCCCTTCAAGAAGATCTGGACAAAATAAGTATATGGAGCACCACTTGGCAAATGGAATTTAATGTTAATAAATGCCAAGTTATGGAATGTGGAATAGGAGAACATAGACCCCACACAGCCTATAAATTATGTGAGAAATCTTTAAAGAATTCTAATAAAGAAAGAGATCTAGGGGTGGTCCTAGATAGAAAACTATCACCCGAGGACCACATAAAGAATATTGTGCAAGGAGCCTATGCAATGCTTTCTAACTTCAGAATTGCTTTTAAATACATGGATGGCAAAATACTAAAGAAATTGTTCACGACTTTTGTTAGGCCAAAGCTAGAATATGCAGCGGTTGTGTTGTGCCCATATCTTAAGAAGCACATCAACAAACTGGAAAAGCTGCAAAGACATGCTACTAAGAGGTTTCCAGAACTGAAGGGCAAGAGCTACGAGGAGAGATCAGAGGTATTAAATATGCCATAACTAAAAGACAGAAGAAAAAAAAAGAGGCGATATGATCACTACGTACAAAATAGTAACAGGAATTGATAAAATCGATAGGGAAGATTTCCTGAGACCTGGAACTTCAAGAACAAGAGGTCATAGATATAAACTAGCTAAACAAAGATGCCGAAGACATATAAGAAAATTCACTTTCGCAAACAGAGTGGTAGACGGTTGGAACAAGTTAAGTGAGAAGGTGGTGGAGGCTAAAATTGTCAGTAGCTTCAAAGCGTTATATGACAAAGAGTGCTGGGTAGACGAGACACCACGAGCGTAGCTCTCATCCTGTAACTACTTAGGTAATTACAAGTTGCTTTTCTTTGCCCACCAGCAATGACAATTTAGGTTTTAAACTTGCATAAGATTAAAATCTTACAATACAGTAGTATCAATTTCTCTATCTCACCCAGTAAGAAGCAATTTTGTTTGTACTTCTTTCGGAAAATATCTTTATCTTGTATTTTTTATACTGACACACACACCAACTTTTCTGCATAGATCCAACTTCCTTCATCGTCCTTATAGAAAACCGTTGTGATGATAATTTTGTTTTAGCTTTTTTTCAGTCAACTTGCCAATATCCAAATATATATTTGCAAGATTTACAACAAATACACATGAATTTCTAGACTGCCATTTGTACACATATGGTTGGTTTTGCCTTCACTATGTAAATTTTGGAACTATTTATTAACCTTTATCCCCTTAAAAATATAAATTATCTCATCTGTTAAATCAATTTTAAGTGTTCCTCATAATATGAACTTTGAAAGGGTTACCTTTGAATCATTCTTCTTGCTCAGTTAGGAGCCAAGAAAGATGCATTTATCATTTGAAAATGGGTGTTTCATGATCCATCCAAAATATGTAATGGGGGAGGGGTTGGAACTATCAGGGAAAAGAACCAAGCCATTACCACTACTGTATATCACACTTGGAAGGAATCAGGATGAGGATTTGGGATGGGACAGGGGGGGGGGGGGGAGGTGAAGGAATGGTGCCCAATCACTTGGACGGGCTGGGGATTGAACGCTGACCTGCACAAGGTGAACCAGTTGCTCAACCGTTCAGCCCAAGCGGTTTGATGGTGCTTAACTTTTCAACCAAAATCCGAGTTATACTGAAACTTGTGATTTTCTATAAAGACATACGTATAAACCATCAAGAAAATTGAAAGGGATGTAGTGTAAATTAAATTTTTTGTATAATCTAAAGTATCACAGTACCAAATAGTTTCGTCATGGTTATCTTGAGATGATTTTGGGGCTTTAGTGTCTCCTTGGCTTGGTCCTCGACCAGGCCTCCACCCCCAGGAAGCAGCCCTTGACAACTAACACCCAGGTACCTGTTTACTGGTAGGTAACAGGGGCATAGGGTGAAAGAAACTGCCCATTGATTCTTGCCGACGCCCGGGATCGAACCCGGGACCACAGGATCACAAGCCCGGCGTGCTGTCCGCTCGGCCGACATGGTAGGGCCCGAGAGTACAGTGTCACTATAATCATAAACCTACGTACCTACAAATGAGGCATGAAACCTCTTGGATGTAAGTCAACATGGTGATGCACTGATTGAATGCAGATTAAGCAAGAAAATATATTAAGAACATGATTAAGAAACACTGCCGGATTGCTGGCCCCTACATGGCAGATAATTTTTTAAGATCCAACCATTTTCACTCGTGTACCCATTACATTATTTAATATATAGTGCAAGACGACCTTTCCTGGCAATTTAATGTCACTCATGATTTTAAGTCTGCTTTCTTTGGGCATGTTGGCCTACCGGGAGCAGGAGTGGGAGTGGCAGGCGTGAGGTGTGGGGTGGAGGGAGGGCGTGCCTGGGTGTGGGAGACGGTGGCAGGGGGACAGGGAGCTACAGCCTCACCTGGTGGACATAAATAATATTGTCTCCTCCAGTTGACACACTGCTCCAGCCGCCAGATGTAAACAAGATAGGACCCCTCGCTTCCTCAAGGATGGCTCCCCTCAGCGGTGATTGGTTACTGGGAGACGGCAAGGTGGCCGCTGAGTGGCTGACGCCGCCGGAGAGGACGGCACCGGCCTGTAATTGGTCAGCGCCGTATCGTCTCCGCCAACCACAGGCGAGACGGCACCAGCATTGTTTACTTTTGTGTCAAGAGAGGACATCCTGGGTCCGACCCAACAAAATCTGCGATTTGTTTAATATTTTCTCTATTATTTTCTTTTCTGTGCGGCTGTAACTCTGCCATGGAGTTTTTCCTAACTTTTATTCTGCTCATCCAGAGTCTTGTCTAAATGTGTCATCATCTTAACTTCTTTTCTTGTTATTATCTGTACCGGAAACTTGGCTGCGCTTCCTTTTATCCTAATTTGGTCAAAACGCGATAACTCAAAAGTTACTTTTGCGACCCAAGATAATTTAGTCTATTATGTTGATTTCATTTTTGGCAAGACAGTGTTGACTTTAGGCTTAACTTCTAGCCCCAGAGAGCACTTACTTAAATCTTTGAATATTAAATATTAAGTCACCACATTCTCTCAAGTGTACGCTTATATACGGTATATATAAAAAACTGGAATGCTAATCCCGACCTTAAGCACTTCTTAGAGGGCTGTAATGGAACCCATGGGCACCACACTAGAAACATATATTTTTTGATACTCCAAAAGTGCGACTTAACCAAAGTAGAAATGCTCTGTAAATCAAGAATGTAGAATGACCTCCCTAATCACATCAAAGACTGTCCCTCTCTCAACCTATTTATAGAGAAACTAAGACCTACCTAATTCTTATGTGACCAACCTTGCATTCTAAATATCAACCTATGTTTTGCTGTTATTGAACATTAATTGTTGAACCTGTACTCTTACTAATATATATTGTGTAAAAAAATTAATAAAACATTGTATAATTACAATTAGTTTATACATGGAGATTTTTAGCTGAACTAATGAACAGCTAGGTTGTGAAGCCAAATTACCATTGTAGTAGTAATAATACTAAGTATGGATCATTGAAAGTGAGTAAGATTTTAGAAATTTGTAAAAAATTTAACTTTTGTAATATGTCAACTTAATCATACACAAAACTAACTTCTGCTACTAGGCTAGATAAAGTACAGTTTCTTCAGTTAAAATGCAATACAGTACATATTACTTTTATGCTAAATAAATACTAACCTTATTATTCTTAGCCCTTTGGTTTTGGTATATCTATCCCATAGTTTAAACATTCACAAGTATTTAGATTTTTCATGATGTTAATTTTTATTATAATCACTTAATTGTGCATTCATTTTTGCATTTAAAACTTCATACTGTCTTTACTTTTTACTCTGTGACTGCATGACTGGGGCTTGGTCAATGTCCAGAGGAATTTAATTTTGCTTCAATGAGTTTTGTCATGTGAGTGGTCGAACTGGTCGGTTTGAACCACAATTCTATAAATGTTTCACCCATGTACTTCAAAGACAAATAATTACCAATAGAACCTAAACACCTAACCTAACCTAACCTACGCCAAACTATACATACAATTTTTATGTATAAGAATATTAATTTATATATGAGAACAAACCAATTTTTAATACACAGCATGTTAAAATTGATGAATACGTCTGGGAAGGACAGCCGCTGCTTTAAACAGAATAGTGTGAGAACGGGTTGACTTGAGATCCTTAAACACATTTGTTTTCTTGAAGCCCATTAAACAACTGAGAAAGCAATAATTTTGTAGCTGCTCCACACTCTTCCAGTGGACTGACTGGAGTGCTCTACTCTGTAGCACTTTTGACCTTCAATGAACTTCATGTCACATTAGTAAAATTGTTATGCTCAGATTGGACCTGCATCCAAATAGTGCAGTATCCCATGGTCCTGTGTTTTAAATGTGCCCATCCCTAGGACTAAGTAGGGATTCATTATTCAGACAATTCTGGAGTTGCTCTTTAGATATCGCTACAATCTGATATGGTCTTCAGTACAATGATATGTGAAACATAAATATGACTTGTTTACAAGTAATGAAAGGATTAATCATCAAGAATTGCAACCAGGAACTGTGAGCCCAGTTATGTCCACACCTCAGCTTTATATTAGTACAGTATACATAAACATTTTCCATTTTTAGATTTCCACTTTATACAACTCTCACCATACAATAATTATATGTTTTGAAAATATACATTGCTTAGAATAAAGTATTTTTATTGTATTACAAAGTACTGAATAATACATCTACACTTCTGTAGTTCTCTTGGAAAAAAAATTGCTGTTCATCTGAATCAGGCTGTGTTTGTGTTGAGTTGAGATAGATAATTCTATAATAATTAACCATCTGGATATCTAGTGAAATGCAATAAAATGCATTTGCAAAGATAGTAGGTTAACGCAGTGCTTGAATTTTTATAAAACTTTGCAACCATCCACAGGGGAGCTGTGATACACCATGTAGAAAATCGAAATGCATTAGGATGCATCATACAAGGGAGAAGCTACTGGTACTGTGAGTGACACTGATGACACAAGAGAGACCATGGTACAGTAATGTTGCAGTCACCACACTACACTCACTACAAGTGACCTGGGAGAAAGGAAGTACTCTATGGCTGCTGTAGGAGGAGTGTCATTCAGCCATAAAGAGTACTATGTAGTAGGCTAGAGAAGATATTAAAGTGGTTATCACCTGGCACAATGGGTTTTGTAAGTGGTAAGTTGAAACATCACAAGTTGTGGCTATAAATATAATATGAAAATTGTCATCTTAATATTAAATTCTTTTAACTAAACTTTCTGTTGACATAATTTTCTCATTCAGTGCACATGGCACACTGGTAGAATTTTTTATATAAATTAATTTCTTGCTTGCTGCTTCTCACCTTATGTTGTGTGGTGCTGTGTTCCATGTAGTTCTCATTAAAATATACAAAATAAATAACTGCATTTTTTATGTTGAATAGCAATGTTTCCTATGGGATTTTTACCTCTTCAAAAACTATTGTGTTCTATTGGATTAAAGGAGATTTATCTTAAAATGGTGATTACACCCTTGTGAAAAGTGGGCCACAGTGATTAATATTTACCAAGTTTGTTGCGTTGGCTTCGTACCCTATTCTTGCAACGGAAGCCAACCCTCGAGTTTGACGTGAAAAAGTAATGACTGATATATGAATAATTGTTCATTTACCTAAAATAACAATGCTGTACATCGTGCAGTTAAATTCATAGTAGTGTATGAATTTGGAGATACTGTAGTAAGGGACCCATGAATAAAGTAGTGTGCTGTTATGATAAAGGCAACAGGCTCTAATGGTAAAAGTAAGTCTGTAGAAATCTAAGTAATAAAAGTAGCTGGCTGTAATTAAACAAAATTGGCATTAATTATAAAAGTAGCAAGGTCCATAATGAAGCCCACACTAGCAAATTCACTGAACTAATAAACTGGTAAACTGTAACAAACTGCAGAAAGAAAAACATCAGTGCTAGTATAGACACATTTCTTCATAGAATACAGTCTTTAAAATACAGTACACATCATATGCTAACTAAGCAAACTACCACCAAAATGGGTGCATTTTAATAAATCAACAAAAACCATGAATATGAGCAAAGAAATATAGGAGGTATTTCAAGATAAATTACAAAGAGATACTGTACTATTTAAACAATAATATTGAAAATCACTAAAAGAAACTACCGTGTTATGAAAATAAATTTCTTCAAGTAAAGATTAATACAAAAAATATAGTAGAAAAAATTCCAGGTACTGGAATCAAAGAAAAGGTCAAATAGAAATGTGATATGCCTTGCAGGAGACAATGGAAGCATGTTCTTAACCAATGATCCTGCCACTGAATATCATTAGTTTCTTCTTATCAGTAGAATCCCCCCCCCCCAGCAAATAAGATGCCAGAATCACAAGCCAATATATATATATATATGACCATCTTGTGGTCAACTATCCCAATACACTATCTACTACTAACAACTTCTTCAGATTATACTTCCATAATATGTTCACTTAAAAGTAAAGCAGCCAATCACTGAAATACTAGCATTAATTTATAATAAAAAAAGAATTGTGTTTTAGTGCATGTAACTACTACAATTCACTTGAATTCTGAGTCTTCCCTGGTACTGCTTAACTCCTACCTGGCTGCACATGATATACTATTCATTTTATCAATTTGGCATCAAATCCCTAAAGATCGCCAACCATGCTATAATAAATATGCTTAGCTGGTGCATTCAGTTCTTGACAAAAAATATACAGTATATTAATATTTGTTGACCTTCAAAAGGTCTTTGGCACTGTTAACGATAAGTGTCTCCTTGAACTACATCACTACAGCGTCAACGTCACTCGTGGTGATATCCTCGATAATATCTATGAGCTAGATTGTACCTGGAACTCTTGAATATTCTCTTTCATAACCAGTGCTATAAATCCATACTGGCCTAAAACTTTCTTCTGACTATTACTAACTTAATTGTGTTATTTCTGGCCATATTTGCATATTGACTATTGTGTTTTGATCATGGACTGTTCTCTCCCATTCTTGTCTTAAAGTAGACATAATTAGGACAATGAATGCCTAGAACATGTGTCTGATTGACTAGGTCTCTTCATGCTATAGTCTTTGGAAAGAACCACTGCCTCTCATGAGGATCACAAGCAACTCTTCACTCACGTCAATTTTGCTTGCATTGTGTATCATGTTGTCTATGTCTGGCTCTAAGCACTGAACTGCTGCCTTCATTCCACTGCTCACAAGCTCAGGAGTTATGTCCCTCTGAGTGATCTCGTATGGAGATTTCTTCTGGAGGGTTTTCAGACTTTGTCACCCTGGCAGTCTATGACTCCATCAGAAGCCTTTCACTGACATGTCTGGAATGAACTGTTCTTTTTGTCTCGAGCCGTCATCACATGGGGAACACACATTGGTCTCTCATGTTGGTGTAATCTCACAACAATGTTCAGAAAATATATAGTAGCAATGTAGATTGTGTGAAACAATGTAGATTGCTTTTCTCCCGAGGGACTCCATTCTTCTTTTGATCTTAAAAATTCACCATAGGTGCATTACCTCAAATGAGGAGGTGGGCAGGTTCTTTCTAGTTTCCTCCTTTGTGGTACTGGATTCCAATCATAGTGTGTCTTCTGGCTATTAAGGCTTTAGGCCTCACAATGGTATACATTGATTGGGTGTTCAATGTGTTACCATTTTGCCTCTCATTTTTGTCTGATTGGGATGAAACAGTAGTAGACAAGGCCTCTTTCCTCAGATATACAGTATGCAACCACTTTTGACAAGACGTAAGTAAATCTGTTTGCATCCTACTGTATACAGAACCACAAACGTTTGTAAATGATGCCCTGCAACTTGGTCGAACCAGTACTCACCTATTTGTGCTTGCGGGGGTTGAGCCTTGCCTCTTTGGTCTGCTTCTCAACTGTCAATCAACTAGTGTACAGATTCCCAAGCCTACTGGGTTCTATCATATCTACATTTGAAACTATGTATGGAGTCAGCCTCCACCACATCACTTCCTAGTGCATTCCATTTACTAACTACTCTGACACTGACAAAATTCTTTCTAATGTCTCTGTGGTTCATTTGGGTACTAAGTTTCCACCTGTGTTCCCTTGTTCATGTTCCACCCGTGCTGAAGACTTTTTCTTTGTCCACCCTGTCAATTCCTCTGAGAATTTTGTAGGTGCTTATGTCTCCCCTTACTCTTCTGTTTTCCAGGGACGTGAGGTTTAGCTCCTTCAGCCTTTCCTCGTAACTCATACCTCTCAGTTCTTGGACAAGTTTGGTGGCATACCGCTGAATCTTGTCTAACTTTGTCTTGAGTTTAACTAGACATGGACTCCAGGCAGGAGCTGCATATTCCAGGATTGGTCTGACATAAGTGGTATACAGGGTCCTGAACGATTTCTTACACAAGTTTCTAAAGGCACTTTTTATATTGGCCAACCTAGCATATGCCACTGATGATATCCTTTTGATGTGGGCCTCTGGGGACAGGTTCGGTGTGATATCAACACCCCAGATCTTTCTCTCTATTTGACTCTTGCAGGATTTCACCTCCCAGATGGTACCTTGTGTTCAGCCTTCTGCTCCCTTCACCTAATTTCATTACTTTACACTTCCCTGAGTTGAACTTTAGCAGCCATTTTCTAGACCATTCCTCCAGTTTGTCCAGGTCATCCTGTAGTCTCTGTCTATCTTCATCTGTCTTGATTCTTCTCATAATTTTTGCATCATCAGCAAACATTGAGAGGAATGAGTCTATACCCTTTGGAAGATCATTTACATATACTAGAAACAGAATGGGTCCAAGTGCAGAGCCCTGTGGGACTCCGCTGGTGACATCTCGCCACTCGGATGTCTCTCCCCTCACAGTTACTCGCTGTTTCCTGTTGCTTAGATACTCCCTTTTCCACTGGAGCACCTTACCTTTTACTCCTGCCTGTTGCTCCAACTTTTGTAACAGCCTTTTATGGGGTACTGTGTTAAAGGCTTTCTGACAATCCAAGAAAATGCAGTTTGCCCACCCTTCTCTTTCTTGCCTAATTTTTGTTGCTTGGTCATAGAATTCTATTAATCCTGTGAGGCACGATTTACCATCTGAACCCATGTTGATGGTGTGTCACAAAACTATTTCCCTCCAGATGTTCTACGAGCCTTTTCCTCACGATCTTCTCCATCACCTTGCATGGTATACAAGTTAGGGAAACTGGCCTGTAGTTCAGTGTCTCTTGCCTGTCACCCTTTTTGTATATTGGGACTACATTAGCTGTCTTCCAACTTTCCGGTAGGTCTCCTGTTTCCAGTGACCTGTTATACACCATAGAGAGTGGCACACTTAGTGCCTCTGCACCTTCTTTTAGTATCCACAGTGAAATTCTGTCAGGCTCAACAGCCTTTGTCACATTCAGCTCCAACAGATTTCTTTTGACCTCATCACTGGTGAGGTCAAATTGTAGGATATGCTTTATTGTAGTATTTAGTATTTAATAATTTAAATAATGTAGTATTTAAAATAATGTAGTACTGTATTTAATAATATATTGTAGGATATGTTTTATGAGTTTTATCCAGTCTGAATGATATTGCTTGTTTGGTCAAAACTGGAAATTTATTTTGTGAGCCATGTGATAGTATTTCCTATCCTGTCACTAATTCAGCTCCGGTATCTGACCTGCTCTCAAGGTGCCCCAGCCCTTCAACCTTCCCTGTGCACAAGTTGGGCTTTGCACAGATTCTTCATGACCACAACCCCAGTATAGATCTAGGGCTGCCTGTATAGTGTTTATGATTATCAGAAGCTTTGATCTTTGAAAAAATATGCATTATTACTGTATAAAATATTGTAATATTTCTTTAATTTTTTTTTTGCCATAAAATACATGGAAGTTGAGTTAATCTTATGTTTTGTAACATATCTTTTGCAATTTGTAAATTTTCATGTTATAATTGTAATTTTTTTTTTCAGCTATGTTAGGTGTATGGCTCATAGCTCAGGGAATAGGCTGCACAGAAGAGCAAAAAGGTAAATTGTGCCCCCTCAGGTATTTGTATACTAGAGAGAATTTACAAACATCAAATAAAAATTTGCTGGAGTTTAATTATAATAGACATAAGGAAATGAGCTGAATCCAGTTAGAAATGATGCACTATTAATATCAAAGTTAATATCTAAGTCCTTTTCCAATTATTAGTATTTACAATACTACAGATATTCTTTGTACTGAAATAGGTGACTAACTATGAGAACTTGACAATTAAATTAAATCAACATGTGTGATGGAAGCAGCAGTGATGTGGCTAATTAGAATACGTAGTCACCTGGAAGTTGATGACTACCTGCCTCCAGGTTTATCTGTTAGATTAAATGATTCCAGATTTTGTTCCCTGTAATTTTGACGAGTTTACGACAAGAATTTTTGACCCCGTCAACAAAGAGTTGGCAAGAAGTTGTGCAAGAAGGTCAAGAGTATAGATAGCCAGACACAGTGCTTAAATAGATACACTAACTCAGTGTTTAACAAATGTGAATGCTAGTCAGTGCAGTTGAGATTTTAAGGCTCTTAATATGTAGGCTTATGGGCTAAAAGCCACATTAGCCTGGTTAATCAAGCAGTCACCAGGAAAAACTGGCAGGGCTAGACTCTGGACATGTTTCCGTATATTTGATGCCTTTTCATTGAGCAGTGAATAGGTACCTGAGAGTTAGTCAATTGTTGATGGTTGCATCCTGAGGAATGGCCATTTATCATCTTGAGGGCCATTTATCATCTACAAACTTAACAGGCTTTCTATGGTTTGGTTTGGTTCAATGAGGAATGATTAATCATGCAATGGAAACCTGTTCTAATGTTAATATTGACAGTTGTAAATAATGTTTTCATTAGTTTTGTTTGAATGCAATAGTTGGTCTAGTAGAAAACTCTGGCAATAGCAAAGGAATTGATAACCATCAGTAAATCTTAAATTTTGGTTTAGCAATAAAAGGTGATATAAAACTAGCTTGGAAAAGTGATGTACTATTGCATAGCAATATGATCTAGAAAGTAATTTATGACCGTGTGTATTTATTTCCCGGCAGATAGTTATGTTTTTGTGATTCTGAACCAACAATCACCTGTACATTACGAAGCTGCTCAGCAGTTGGCCTCCCACATTATCTCCGAGTCTAAACAGATTGACCTGGTATGTTGTATGTTTCCTTTTGTTGTGCCTTGATTAACAATTAAATACAACTGGGATTGTTTTGGAAGTAATAAAAGAGGTAATGATAATGACTGTGTGAGAGGTAGAGAAAGAAAGTGGCGGCATTAATGAGTGTTTGAGAGGAGGAGAAAGAAAGTGGTGACAATAATGAGTGTGAATTACCTAAGTGTAATTGCCCTAGTGTAGTTCCAAGATAAGAGCTACGCTTGTTGTGTCCCATCTTCCCAGTACTCTTTGTCATGTGACACTTTCAAATTACTGATACGCTTGGCGTCCATCACCTTCACACTAAACCTATTCCAACTATCTACTGTACCTTGGTTTGCAAAAGTGAACTTTCTAATGTTTTTTTCTGGGGGGAGCTTCTTCGGCTCCCCGGAGCTATCCAGGCTGATATGTATATCAGTAGACTTTGGCATCAGTCAATGTGAATGGAGTTCTAGGCCTACCGGGGACCACGAGCCAGAACCTGCCCCCCCCACCCCCTCAGAGAGGCACGAGGAGCAATGGCCTATAGAAATGCACATGGGATATGGAGCATTCTGTGTCTGCCATCGACTGGGTCAGACACCCAGAAAGGTAAGCGCCTCAAAACAAACCCCTATTCTGGTTAAAATGACAAAAATAAACTAACGAGTGAACAGAACTCCCCAGTTGAAAACGAGCAAACAAACATGATGTCACACGTGCTGCGCTGCATGTCTGCACAGCTCCCCCTTCCCGAGAGGGGGAAGGGAGAGCCCCAGAACCACCCCGCCAGTGATCCATCCTCCAGTTCTCGGCTGATGTCATTGTGGCTCAGTCATGTGGCTCCAGCTCCAGATTCTCTGTGTTGTGCTGTGCCTTGTGTCCAGTACTGCTCTTACGGTGGCTTGCGAGCTGGGAGTATTATTCACAGGTATTCGGGCTGCATGCGCTTAGGGTTCCCTTCACTGAGTGCCCTGTAAGTACTGTTCATTGGGGTTGGGGTTATCTTCCACAAGTCACCTTGAGGTCTACCTCTGTTGGTCTTTTGCTGCTCGATGATTGACCACCTCGAGTGTGTTAGGGGGTTTCCTCCCTTCTTTATCATGGGGTAAGTGGTAGTTTCTGGGGGGAGCCCCTACGGCTCCCCGCAGCTATCCATGACTGATATGGATACCCTAACTATTTTGCATCAGTCGATGTGGATGGAGTTCTAGGCCTACCGGGGACCACGAGCCAAAACCTGGCCCCCTCACAGAGGCATGAGGAGTAATGGCCCATAGAAATGCACGTGTGATTTGGAGCATTCTATACAGTATCTGCCATCCACCGGGACAGGCACCCAGAAAGGTAAGCGCCACAAAACAAACTCCTATTCTGGCTAACAACGAAAAATCAACAAACGAGTGGACAGAACTCCCCAAAGAAAAACGAGCAAACAAGCATGATGTCACACGAGCTGCGCTACATGTCTGTGCAGCTTCCCCCTCCCCGGGAGGGGGAAGGGGGAGCCCCAAACCCTCGCGCCGGTGATCTCCACCTCAGTTCCTTGGCTGACGGGATCGTGCACAGTCGTGTGGCTCCAGCTCCAATTTTCTCTCAGTGCTGTTCATTGTTTTCAGTGCTGTTAATTGTTTTCAGTATTTACCTAAGTGTAGTTACAGGATGAGAGCTACCTGCTTGATACCTGCTTGATGGGGTTCAGGGAGTTCTTCTACTCCCCAAGCCCGGCCCGAGGCCAGGCTCGACTTGTGAGAGTTTGGTCCACCAGGCTGTTGCTTGGAGCGGCCCGTAGGCCCACATACCACCACAGAACAGCTGATCCAGAACTTCTCTTAAAAAACAGTCCAGTTTTCTCTTGAAGATGTCCACGGTTGTTCCGGCAATATTTCTTATAGTCGCTGGGAGGATGTTGAACAACGGCGGACCTCTGATGTTTATACAGTGCTCTCTGATTGTGCCTATGGCACCTCTGCTCTTCACTGGTTCAATCTTGCATTTTCTTCCATATTGTTCACTCCAGTACGTTGTTATTTTATTGTGTAGATTTGGAACCTGACCCTCCAGTATTTTGCATGTGTATATTATTTGGTATCTCTCTCGTTTGAGCTACACTCGTGGTGTCCCATCTTCCCAGCACTCTTTGTCATATAACGCTTTGAAACTACTGACGGTTTTGGCCTCCAACACCTTCTCACCTAACTTGCTCCAACCGTCTACCACTCAGTTTGCGAAAGTGAATTTTGCTGCTCTTACGATGCTCGTGTGAGCTGGGAGTAATATTCTCAGGTACTCGGGCTGCATGTGCTTAGGGTCTCCTTCCATGAGTGCTGTGTAAGTACCGCCCTTGGGGGCTTGGGATTCCCTTCCACAAGTCGCCTTGGGTCTACCTCTGTTGGCCTTTTGCTGCATGGCGTTTGGCCGCCCCGAGTGTGTGGGGGTTTTCCTCCCCTGTTTTGCCTTGGGGTAAATGGTAGTTATTGCATTGGTGAGGTGCGGGGTACCGCGTAGCTAGTTTACACCTATAACAACGACTGGCTCTGTTCCCTCTGGGTACATTGACCTCTTGCGTGGTTTTTCTTTTATTTTTATTTTTACCTGGTGGGGGGGGGGGGGTCTGCCTTGTGTTCTCCCACCCTCCTTATATTAGGGTCGTTTTATGTGGTGGCACCCCATGCTTCGCCCTTGTGAGTGGACACGTCCTGTGGGTTCAGCTTTTAGCAGTTTGCTTGATAGTTTGGGGCGCCGGTTAACAGTACCCTGCCTGTGATAACCCTTAGCAGACCCAGTCTAGGGGCCCTGGAAAACCCCACAGGAGCTCTCGGGTCCGATGGAGGAGACCTTTGCGTGTCCTCTCGCTTTGTGTGAGTTTGAGTGTTGCTTTGTCCTCTTGTCTCAGGGCGACACTCATTGTTTATGCCTCCGTCATGCTGCCTGTTGGGTCGGTGACACATTCGACCCTGAGTCCTGCGAGCTATGTTGCTTGTTTGTGACTCAATTCACCCAGACTGATGATGATTTTCTTCGGGTGCAGGCAGCACGCGCGTTGCAGGATAGGTTTAGGTTATTGCAACGCGCTCAGGTTGTCGCTTCCCCGGATGTCCCAAGGCTGCCCCGCTTTGCCTATAGGGACTCTTAACTTAGGGGTGTTGGTCGCTTCAGCCTTGGTTCCATCCATGCCCCCTCATTCTTCCCCTTCAGTGGTTCATTCGGTCCCCCCGCTTCCAGCCCCTAAGTGTCTGAGGGCTTCGGGGTTGGGGCAGGAATTAGAGATTACTGAGATTCGGGCAGTTTCGGGGGTTGACCCGTCAGGGGTAGCTGCGGAGGCATTCGAGTGTGTTCCTCCTGCCGTTGCTCCGGGGTCTGACCAGTGGGCCCCTTCCCTTCCGGCTCTTTCGGCTGTCCTGGCTTTTTCTTGTGATGCTGGGGCTTTGGGAGGATGACTCGGCCCCGGGGCCTGGAGTAGTGGTTCCCATAGTTGGGGAGAAGCTGACTTGGGGGGCCTTGGGCTCCGTTGGACCCCACCTGGATTTTCCGTCCTTCTGAGCGAAGCTTACTGTTGCAAGGAGTGGGGTTTTCTTTTCCCCCTTCTGCATATAATTTGGACTTGGGTTTTGTTCCTCCCCGGGTTCGATTCCAAGTTCCTGTGGATTCTTCGGTTCCGTCTTTGCAGAGGTTTTCGGCTTCCCGCATCTCGCCGCCTGAGGTGCGATCAGCCATTGCGACTTACCTCCTGCGTGACCCGGAGTATGCCTCAATAACGGATCCTTCTTCGTTCATGTTTAGATCATTGTGTTCTTACTGGGTACGTTATGAGGTTCCGGGGTCGTTCTGGCTTGCAGGATGCCCCTTGTTTTCGTTGTATGCTTGGGACTCGTTCTGTCGGACCCGCACTTTTTGAGTGGCGCGAAGCGTTGACGGTGGTCCAGTTTTACCTGGGGGCAATTTTACGTATCTTAACAAGTGCCTTTTTACTCCTGCCCTTTTGCGGGATATTGGTGCGGTTCAGCTTGATGTGCAGGTTCCTTCCCTGTCGGCTGTGCTTGTGGCTAAGGACTTACACGCTCGTGGCTTTTTGGCTTCGGTCCTGCGTTTATTTTCCCTCCTGGAACTGTCTTCGGATTGGCTTGCGGAGGATGTAGAGGTGCTTTGGGCCATTCCTGGGTCTGGCGCCTTAGTCTCGGCTGCTCGTGCTTCATCTGGTCTTTTGAAGCTGTTTGCTCTGATCCTGCGAGAGGCGTTGCTGCGTTTTTTGCTGTGCGTTTTGCATGTCGACAGGCTGTACTCGCTTCCTCCTTGGAATCTGCTTGGGCCCTGGTTCTTAGGTTGTCTTCTCCTTTTTGTCTTCTACTTATAGAGGCCTCTGCGGTTGAGCGTTATATTCAGGCGGCTTCTTCCACTTGCTGCCCTATGTCTGAATCGACGGTGCTCCAGGAAACCGGGGGGGTTCCTTCCCGGCAGGGTCGTGCCAGGGTTTGCGGTTCCGTTCATCGAGGTCAGCCACAGGTGTCGGCTTCGGTGCCGGTGCTGTCTGTGGTCCTCCCTGAGCCTAGTCGACACGGTGTTTGCTCTGCGCGCAGGTCGGGTTCTCGTAGGGGACAGCGGCCCTTTCGTGGTTTGCCCCATTGACAGGGCGGTGGGGGGAAGGCTTGCTCTGTTTGCTCGCACCTAGTCTCATGATTTGTTGGCTTTTTGGATCGTTTCTCTCGGCCTGCGGTGGTGTTGGGTGGCTCCTCCTCCTCCTTTGGGGGGGATTCAGATCTGATGGGGCAGGTATCCTCTCCTGCGCTCTGTCGGGTCATCTTGGAGTGGGTGTGGTTGGGCGTAGTTGAAACGATGACGTCTCTCAGGTGGATTTCCCGCCTGTTCCCAGTTCCACAACGGGACTGTGTGGACCTGCGGTTCATTCTGGCCTTGTCCTGTCTGAACCCTTGGGTTTCTTGCCCCTTGTTTCGAATGACCACTCTATCCCAGGTCCGGCTTCTGTTGGAGCTGGGCGCTTGGATGGTGTCCCTTTACCTCAAGGACGCATATTGAAATGTCCCTATTCATCTGGGGTTCCGGGACTAGCTGGGTTTTATTGTGGAGCGTCAGAGTTACCGCTATCGTTGTCTCCCATTTGGGTTGAACATGGCACCTTGCGTGCTCACACGCCTTACCCAAAGTCGTGGTGGCCTGTCTGTGTCTGTTAGGTGTTAGGGCATTCGCTTACCTCAACAACTGGCTGATTGTTGAGATAAAAACTTACTTCAACAGTTTTAGAAGTTTGTTTGATAGACTTGGGCCCCTGTTAGCAGTACGTTGCATGGGCTTACCCTTAGCGATACCAGTCTTAGGGCCCTGGGAAGCCCCACAGGGGCGCATGGGGTACAATCAATATGACTCCTGGGTCCCCTCTCGTCTTGTGCGAGTTTGAGAGTTGCTCTGTCCCCTTGTCTCAGGGTGACAGAGCTTGCTCATTGTTTTAGCCGCCATCATGCTGCCCGTTGAGTCATTGACACCTTCAACCCAGGGTCCTGCGAGCATTGATGCTTGTTTGTGACTCAATTCACCCAATCCACTGATGATATTATTTGGCTGCAGGCGGCTCAGGCGTTGCATGCTATCTTGAGGTTATCTTGAGATGATTTCGGGGCTTTAGTGTCCCCGCGGCTCGGTCCTCAACCAGGCCTCCACCCCCAGGAAGCAGCCTGTGACAGCTGACTAGCACCCAGGTACCTCTTTTACTGCTAGGTAACAGGGGCATAGGGTGAAAGAAACTCTGCCCATTGTTTCTCGCCGGTGCCTGGGATCGAACCCAGGACCACAGGATCACAAGCCAGTGTACTGTCCGCTCGGCCGACCGGCTCCCCGGCTAGGTATAGGTTGCTGCAACGTGCTAGGTTGGTTGCTTCCTCAGGTGCCCCAAGGCTGCCTTGCTTTGCTTATAGCGACCCGGACTTGGGGGTGTTGGTCGCTTCGGCCTTAGTTCAGTCTGCACCCCCTCGTTCTTCCTCTGCTGTGGTTCATTCTGCCCCCCCCCCTCCCTCCCTTGCTTCTGGCTTCAAAGCATCTGAGGGCTTCGGAGTCGGAGCAGGGTTTGGAGGTTTCTGAGACTCGGGCAGCTTTGGGGGTTACCCCTTCCGGGGTAGCAACGGAGGCATTCGAGTTCATTCCTCTAGCCGTAACATCAGGGTCTGACCAGTGGGCTCCTTCCCTTTCTGCTTTTTCTGGCTGGCCCGGCTTTTTCTTGTGAAGCAGGGGCTTTGAAGGATGATTCGTCCCTGGGGCCCTGATGTGGAGGTTCCCAGGGTTGGGGAGGAGCTGACTTGGGGCCTTGGGCCCCGCTGGATCCCGCCTGGGTTTTCCAACCCTCAGAGCGAGGCTTTCTGTTACAAGGAGTTTGGTTTTCTTCCCCCTTCCCCTCTGTGTACAAGTTGGATTTGGGTTTAGCGCCTCCCTGTGGGTCCTTCGGTACCGTCCTTCCGGAGGTTTTTGGCTTCCTGCATCTTGCCTACTGAGGTGTGGGCTGCCATTGCATATTCCGGGTCCTACGCGACCCGGAATATGCCTCTATACTGGATCCGTCTTCCTTCAGGTTTGGATCTTCGTCTGCATACGAAGATCCAGAGCCTCGTTATGAGGCTCTGGAGTTGTCCTGGCTTACGGACTGCCTGTTGTTGTTGTATGCTTGGAGTGCTTTCTGTCATACCCGCATGCGTTAGCGGTGCGAGGTGTTGATGGTGGAGGGGGGGCGACATTGAGCACCTTAATGCGTGCTTGTTTGCTCCTGTCCTTCTGCGGGAAGTGGGCATGGTTCAGCTTCATGTGTTGGTTAGCTCCTTGCACATGAAGCTGAAGCGCGCACGTGCGCTCGTAGCTTGTTGACTTTGGTCTTGCGTTTCTTTTCCTTCCTGGAGCTATCTTCGGATTGGCTTGCGGAGGATGTGGAAGCACTTGGGGGCATTCCTGGGTCTAGTGCCTTGGTCTGAGCTGCTCATTCATCGTCTGTGCTGCTGAAGCTGTTTGCACCCATCCTGCGGGATACAGTGTCTTGGTTTTTCGCTGCATGTCTCGCATGTCGGCAGGTTGTGCTCACTTCCTCCTTGGAATCTGCTTGGGTCCTGGCTCTTAGGTTTTCTTTGCCTTTTTGTCCCTTGCTGTTTGTGGACTCTGTGGTTGAGCATTATCTGCAGGCGGCTTTTTCCAGCTGTCGTCTGACGTCCGACTTGTTGGTTTTCCAGGGGTCTTAGGGGGTTTCCTTCCGGAGGGGTCGTGCCAGAGCTCAGGGTTCTGCCCGTTGGGGTAGGCCACAGGTGCCAGTTTTGGAGCTGGCGCCACCTTCGGAGCCGTTTGCGTCTGGTCAGCACAGTGATCGCTCTGTGTGCAGGTCGGGTTCTCGTAAGGGGCGTCGGCCCCTTTTGCGGTTCGTCCCATTGATGGGGCAATGGGAGGGAGGCTTGCTCTGTTCGCTCACGCCTGGTCTCACGATTTGTGGGCTTTTCGCTTCGTTTCCCGAGGCCTGCAGTGACGTCGGGTGGCCCCTCCTCCTTCGGGGGGTTCGGGGCTAATGGTGCAGAAAACGAAGCTGTGCAGCACCCTGTGCCCCTACAAGTGCAAACTGCCATTTACCTGCAGGTAACAAGGGAGAATAGAACACCCAAGAGCCCAACGGGCGGCTGAAAAACCGAACAATAGAACGGACCAGCAGAGGCAGGTCCCGAGTAGCCTGCGGAAGGTGTCCCCAAGCTCCAAGGGCAGTACTTACAGGGCACCTAGATAAGACAGCCCTAGGCGCATGCAGCCCAAGTACTGAAGATAACTCCTGGCTCTCGCACCCTTGGAAAAACAAACACCACACATGAAGCACAGTGCTGTAAAGACACTGGACCAAGAGCACACGACCTCTGCCTATAGCATCAGCCTCAAGAACTGAGGTGTGGGGTAGCCGGCGAGAAGGGTCTGGGGCTCCCCCTTCCTCCTCCCGGGAAGGGGGGAACTGCGCAGACAGCGGCGCGGCGATGTGTGACGTCATACTAGTTTGCTCTTTATCTGTTGGGGAGTTTTATCCACTAATTCGGCTTTTAGTAGCAATTTTAACCAGAATAGGGGTTTGTTTTGGGGCACTTACCTTTCTGGGTGTCTGATCTGGTCGATGGCAGACATAGAATGCTTCCAACTACACGGAGGTTTCTGTAGGCCATTGCTCCCCTTGCCTCTCTGAGGGGGCCCTATTCTGGCCGTGGTCCCCGATAGGCCTAAGAACTCCATACACATGACTAGTGCCAAAGTCTGATATTAGCATATCAACCTGGGATAGCTCCGGGCAGCCTCCGGAACTCGCCCAGAAAATGGCATTTCATTACATTCAACGCTGGTTTTTGGAAGTATTGGAACGGATTGGTGTCAGGGATGATGTATGGGGAGTTTGTTCCACTATTTGGCTCTGGAATAGAAAAATGGGACAGTGTGTCATTTAATTTTTGGCTTACAGTATATTACTAAATCCATTTAATACATCACACACTACAGAGACCTGTAGACCTGTTTTCTATTACAACAATAGCTGTATGGCATAATTAACGTAAGTGTACCCATTTATATTCAAAATGTTCTTCCTGACTGTATGGTAACTGCACATATTAATTTATTGCAGTCTTGTGTGGTACACATAGCATCAGAGGAGTGGCCTGACCTTGCTGTATGGACATACTTCCCACTGTTGGAGAGGTCAGTTCTGCTCCTGCTCTAGTCTTGAGTACATTGCCAAAATATTTGCATCTCTTACTTCTCTTTTTATTACATTTCATCCAGTGTGGGATCTAGGAATATAAGGAAGCACTTCCTCAGCCTGCATAGTGAGGAAATAGAATAAACTATATGGGTGAACTCGAAACATAATTTTAAGAGTAAAGTAGATATCATAAGAGGAATATTGGTCACCTAACAACTGAAAGAGCAGGACCCTGACCTGTTTAACCTAAGACCTATTTAAACTTGACTTTTAAACATTGAGGGAAGTACAGACCCCATAGCATATAATTTTAACTCCTCCACTGCATGACACAATGAGAATTGGTCTCAGTAAATATCAGTAAACTGCATGACACAATCAGGGACATTTTAAGGTACCACATAAGATTTCAAAGTCCCACCATGTAAATTGGGCAATCAAATGCTGCTCAAAGGCAATAGTAAACAGCTGCCATATTGAAAAAAAATCTGAGTAGGGTGATTTGGCAGGAAGGCCACAGTTTGTATCCAGGAACCGTGGCAGATGCACAACCCTCCACTGCCCAATGCTGCACTAGTGCTCCACAAATTCATTTATGGTTGAAGAAATTCAGAAGAAGCTAATGGAAACAGATAAGGAAAGTGACTTTGATGATTCATATAAGGATAAAGATTATGCATAGGGCTCAGAACAAAGTGATACAATGATGTCAACGCCGATGTGTCTGCCCTGAGGCCTGCACCATCACCACTTATGCCGGGGGGCCCCACTCTACTTACACCTCAAGACAGACCATGTGGGTCTGTCTCGGTGGCCTAGGGAACAGCATGGCCTAGGCAACTTGCTATTCCCCTAGGCCATGAACATGTGGAAGATGACTCGCCTGCTTTTGAAGTGCGAAGAAAGACCCATTCGTTGTGTCTCTACGGTTTCGGTCAGCATTGTCCTGTACCTCTTGTCATGGTTGTTTCTCAATCAGCATCTCATGCCTAATACTCTGTTTTATGTGAACTCTTCAGTTGTCTGTAAAGCTTAGCCGACTTTGTGGATGCTTTTCCAGTGGGAAGGCGAATTGTCACTCGCTCCCTGCACCTGTGAGGGGCCAGGATCTGACTCTGGGCCCCAGTAGGCCAAACACAACTTCTGCAAGTGATGTGATCTTTTAGTATGGAGCAATCTCAACAAAATAGCATCACAGAGCCACCAGGGCTTCATAAGAAAGAGGAGTTTCATTAGATTCAACACTGGATTTTTGTATATCAGAGAATGCATTATATTTTTTCCCATAAGGTACTGATCTTTTAACATTATTTAACATGGTTCAGTATGTCACAGTATGAAAGAATGTATCCTATTACACATTACATGCATCATATTGTACACTAAAATTAATGCAGTGTGTAAGAACATTATGGTTCTGTGAGGTATTGATGACAATTTCTGTTGACAGCCTGAGTAAACAGCATGGGCATAACAGCTCATGGGTGGTGCTGCTTGAGGAATGGGCCATAGTCAGGTTAAAGAAGCTTGTTGGCATCCTTCAGGATTATCCTTCTGCCCAGGTAAGGGCAACCTTGAATGCATTCATCGGGATTTACCTACCAAGGTAAGTGGAGAACCTACAGGCATCCTCCAGGATGATTCCTCCACCTAGGTATGTACAGGGCTTGTAGACATCTTGAGGTTATCTATGATGATTTTGGGGCTTAGCGTCCCCTTGGCTCGACCAGGCCTCCTTTTTGTTACACCCCCCCCCCCCCCCCAGGAAGCAGCCTGTAGCAGCTATCTAACTCTCAACTCCCAGGTACCTATTTACTACTAGGTAACAGGGGCATAAGGGTGAAAGAAACTCTGCTCATTTGTTTCCGCCTCCACCGAGGATCGAACCTAGAACATCAGGACTATGAATCCGAAGCGCTGTCCACTCAGCTGTCATGCCCGTCAGCTGCATTGCCAGGGAGCCTCCAGGGCTAACCCAGAAAATGGCATTTCATTACATTCAACGCTGGTTTTCTGAGGGGAGCCCCTACAGCTCCTTGGAGCTTATCGGGCTAATGTATTTTATATTAGACTGGGACATTTGCTATAGAGTTTGGACCTACCAAGGACCACGAGCCAGAACCCCTTCAGAGGTTTCAGGGAGTAATGGCCCAGGAAAACCCCCCCTGTGGTTGGGGGGTTTTCCTTATTTGCCATCAACCAGGGTAAGGCACACAGAAAGGTACGCATAACAAAACAAACCCCACATGGTAAGAAACTAACAACAAAAAATTGAACAGAGAGGTAGAACTCTCTTCAATCCCAAGGAAACAAGCAAACGTAACACACTACTGCCGGACCGCTCGTCTGCACAGCCCTCCCCTTCTCAAGAGGGAGAGGGGGGGCCCAGGACCTCATTGCGCCGGCTGCATAGCACTCCAATTTGTAAGCTAATGTCAACCCGGACAGATGCTTCTCTGGCCTCAGTTTCCTAGACGGGGTTTGTCTCCGTGGCGCTCACTGCCGTGTTATTGTGTTATGTGGTGGCCAGGTGTTCCTCATCAGTACCGGGGCTGCATGCGCATAGGGGCTTCCTTCCCTAAGCGCCCTGTGAGTACTGCCACGTGTCAGGGTTATCTTCCCTGGGGCGTTCGGGACCCATTCCTGTAGGGGTTCTTGCTGCTCGGCATTTGCCTCGCTCTTGGGACCAGCTGGGGCTTGGGGCTCTTGTTTGGCCTTGGGTAGGGACTGGTATCGTGCTGGTTGGGGCATCAAAGTGTTGCACGAACTGCTACCTATGCGGCGATCGGTTCTTGTTGCCTCTGGGGACGGTGTACTTTTGCGGGGTTTTTCTTTTCATTTTATTTTCATTTGCCTGGTGGGGGTCCTGTCTAATGTGGCTATAGTTCCACTGGTAGTGTTTGGTGGCCCTCTGATAGGCCCCCGTGATTGTGCACGTCGCAGGGGTTTTCAGTGTTAGTATGTACCCCTTGTTAGATTTGGGTGTTAACCGGTTAGCAATACCTTGCCCGGACTTCCTGTAGTTGCTACCCTACGGGCCCTGGAAAACCCTGTCGGGGCTCGATGGACCAGTGGATGTGTCTTCCGGGTTCCAACCCATCTTGTGTGGGCTCGTTGGTTGCTGTGCCCTTGTCTAAGGGTGACAATTGCCTCTTCTGCCTCTGTCATGCTGCCTGTTGGGTCACTGACACCTTGACCCAGAGTCTTGCGAGTTGTGTTCTCTGCTTGTTCTCCAAGCAGAGAACACTCTTCTGATGTCCTTACTATTCAGAGTACAGGCAGCATCCACCTTGCATGCTCGGTTTAGGTTGCTGCAATGTGCTAGGTTGGTTTCCCACCAGGATGCCCCGGGGTCGCCCTGTTTTCATTAGGTGTTGTTCACCCCTTTTCCCTCCCTGTTCTCGGCTCCTGACCATCTGCAGGTTTTGGGGTCAGGGCAGGGTTTAATTGGTGCCGATACTCGGGCGGCTTCTGGGGCTGCCCCGTTTGGGTTGGGGACGGAGGTTTTCGAGCCTGTTCCTCTTGCTGAGGCTTCTGGGTCTTACCAGCGGCCCTTTCTTTGCTGCCTTTTCCCTGAACTCTTCCTTATCTTTAAGGCCAGAGGGCATAGAGGACGGCTCTGCTCCAGGGCCTCTGTTGCGGGTTCCAGTGCTGCCCGCTAGCAGTTCTGGGACTCTTTGCCCCTGCCTGGGTTTTCTGCTTTATGGGCGGGGTTTTTCGTCCCTCTCGTCTGCTTACTTCCCATATTTGCTGGCGTGTTTTCAGATCTCTTGCGTCGGTCGCGGCTCCTTTGTTCTGGTGGCCATTTTCTTTATGCGGGTCTGCTTCCCCACCTGGCCACCATGGGGGGGGGGGGGCAGCTTGTTTACCAGTGCCTGGGTGTGCGACTTCGTGTTTTGGGGGTGTTTTTCACCTCCTTCAGCCCGAGGTCGAGATGGGGTTACATAGCTGGACCTCATCCCTCCAGTCCAGCTGTTGCTTCGGGTTCTGGCTCAGTTGGAGTCCTTCCCAGGGAGAGTTGTCCTCATGGCCTCTTGGGCCACGCATGACATCACCATGTTGCCGCACTGCATCTCCCCCCCCTCTCCAGAAGGGGGAAGGGGGAGGCCCAGACCCTTTACGCCGGCAACCCAAAACCCCAGTTCTGAGGCTGATGCGCTAGGCAGAAGTCATGTGCTCTGGCTCCTCTTTTGATCTCAGCTCTGTGCCTTGTGGTGTGGTGGCTGTCTTATAGGGGCTGTGCGAGCCAGGAAGGATTCTTCAGTACTCGTGCTGCATGCGCCTAGGATTACCTTCCCTAGGTGCCCAGTAAGTACTGCCCTTGGGGCTTGGGGCCACCTTCCACAGGTTCCTTGGGTTCTGCCTGTGCTTGGCCGTTTACTGGTCGGTTTTCGACTTCCCTTTGTGTGCTAGGGTGTTCTGTCTCCCTTGTTCGCCTTAGGGTAGGAGGCAGTTTGCACTGGTAAGGGGCGCAGGGTACTGCGCAGCTCGTTTTCACCAATCATAGCGGCCGGCTCTGTTCCGCCTGGGTATGCTGTCCTCTTGTGGGGGTTTCTTTTTCTTTTTGTTTGCCTGCCTGGTGGGGGGTCTGCCTTGGTTATTGCTCCCTGTGTACTGAGTACTCTTCTTTATTCCGCTGGTGCCCCCTGCTATGTCCCATGAGTACATGTCTCGGGGGTTCAATTCTTAGAAAGTTGTTTAGTAGACTTAGGCGATGGTTAGCAATACCCTGCCTGTGCTTCCCTGGGAGTAAGTTCCGCCTCAGGACCCCTGGGAATCCCCACAGGGACACGTGGGTTCGATGGATGTGACTCTGGAGTCCCCCCCTCCCTTTGTGCGAGTTCGAGGGTTGCTCTGTTCCCTTATCTCAGGGTAACTCACTCTTTTGCCTTCGTCTGCTGTCTGTTGAGTCGGTGGCACCTTCAACCCGGAAAACTGCGAGTTTTGTTGCTTGTTTGTGACTTGGTTACTCAGTCCTATGCTGACTATGTGGGTGCAGGCAGCACGAGCATCGCATGTTGGGTTCAGGTTAGGTTTTACACAGCCTGCTGTAGGGTTGGTGGGTTCCTTTCCCTCCGGATGTTCGGATCTTTCCGAGCAGGTTCCTTCAGAGGCTGTTCTGGCATCTCTGGTTCAGTCCCTTTTGCTACTGCCACGGTTGTTGGGTGTGGGCTCCATTGGCTCTTCTCTGCCTGTTGCGTTGTGGGCTTCCTCTCAAGAGTATTTGGGGTTTGGTTCCCAGACGCCTTCCTCCATCCTCCTGCAGTCTTCATGGATGCGTCGGCTCTGGGCTGGGGCTTTATGACCAGTGCTCACCAAGCCAGCCACGGTTATTGGTTTCCTTCCCGAGACAGGGAGCAGACAAATGGTGGGAAAGTCCCACCATTCTGAGGTAGGATAGAAATGATTGGGTGCATTTTCTATCACCTAATGTCTTTGTTCACCTAGAAGTAAATAGGCATCAAGAAGTTAGTCAGCTTGTTGTAGGGTTGCATCCTGGGGAAGTAAGGAATTCAACCTTAGGGGGGACTGCAGTATAAGCCTAAGATGTATATATAAACTGGCTGACTGTCCCTTGACACAATAAATTACTGTATCATGCAACCCATCCTCCTGTTTAGATAGTACCTATTGTGACGATCGTCAGTAGTCAGAATTCGTACGTTCTTAGCTTTTAGATAGTAGTTAACTGACTAGTAAAGAATTCTTTTAAAATAAATGAAGCTAAAACACAAACTTAAATATTCCTAGGCCTAGTATAGCACACATATGTACTATATTAGACCTCAGATATCATGTATTAGGCCTAGGGGTGGTTAGTATAGGTTAGTTAAATTTGTCTAAGCAACACAATTAAAAAATAGTTTTCCAGTTTGTCTAATTCAGTAGTTCAGATTTCCACTTTCTAATTTTATTGTACATCGGTATATATACACATTACTATGGTCATCGTTGTTACTGTAAGTACTACCAAAACAGGAGGATGGGTTGTATTATTATTATACGCTTTAACCATCATTGATTTTTTCTGGGGCCTGAACAATTGCTCATTACTCCTACTGTCTTGCCGACCAAACTATTTACATATACCATCAATGTCAATTCTTAATTTCTGTCTACTTCCAAAATTTAGATCTTATTCACTCCAAAATGCATCTTATTATAATTTAAATTTTTTTACAGCTATTGTTTATTGGACGAGCAGTGAAAGATGAAGAGGAGACCATCATTCACCACTATGCTCGTGTGGACAGGAAGCATCCCTTCCTCTTCCCAGATGCTAGAGCTGGAGTGATCTTGTCTACACCACTCCTCCGCAGGTAGTTCGTTCATTCGTTCGTTCGTTCGTTCGTCTGAATTCTCTAGGGTTCCTGAGGCATCTTCTGATCCAAAATCAGGGTTTTGCATATTACCCACATACACTCGGGCTGTGGTATGAGAGTTTTCCTCAACGCTTCTCTGCAAATGCAAGAAATAACATTAATCTGTTATATGTGGGTAATGTATGTAACTCTGGTATTGGATCAGAAGATACCTCAGGGACCCTAGAGAATTCATGATTAACCCTTAAACTGCAAAACACCTCATATGACAAGTTGAGTAACTGACGCGAAACTGCGCATCACTTTATATGACATTTTGGAGTACTGTCCAAGATTTAAGCGGCCCGCGGCTACACGGAGTTCACCTCACCTTCCTCAGGGCTCTTGTAAACAGATGCCATTTCTTTTTTTAAATCGTGGGCAACATTCCCGGGTGCGAGGGCCACAGTACTGAGTGAGCCACCAAAGCTGGTGCACACAGCATGAGCTCACAGCACTGCTGTTCAGCTTGTGACCACAGCATTGCCTAAAAATGTCAAAATTATATGTAACTGGCATTATTTAGCAATGATAGTATTACAGAAGACCCCTGACTGTGATAAAAATGACCAGGATTCTGATAATAGCAGGATTGTTGTGATAATTTGCACTGTAGTGGGAGGAGTAATGTTGAGGGAGGGAGGGCTGTAGTGTTGTCTGTTGAATCTGTGTGGCCACCTGTTTCTGTCTGCACTCACCATACCATCTTAGTGTTCGCTATGGTGAACACAAATGTAGATACTTATATATAACGTGTATATATAGTGTGGCCACTATGCTCTTTGGGCACTATACCAGCTTAGTTGAACAGTTATGGTGAACAAAACATATTGGAGATACTTATATAATGTGTGTATATAGTGTAATAACACAACAAACAGTATACTTGAAGGAGGAATGTTAGTGTGTCTGGCCTTAAACCAGTGAGAGAGGGAGGGAGGGAGGGAGGGAGGGAGGGAGCATCAGCTGTGTGTGGCCACCTGTTATTGTCTCCACTCACTATGCCAACTTAGTAGTTCGCTATGGTGAACAAAACATAGTGCAGATACATATATATAATCTATGTATATAGTGTAATAACAGCAAAACTATTTGTTTATTGTTTTATGAACATAATAATTGAATCACTAATATGATCACAATACCTTTGAGTATAGTGATGATTCACACATTTTATTACATAAATATATCACACTACACAGTATTGAATAATATCACTGAAAAAATTTGAAAAAATCAAAGATATTGAAATAATTAGGTAATAATATCTTTGTGGCAACTCCCACCTGACAGCTGTGGCAGAACTGACCGCCTCTTTTTTGCCAGACATCCCCGCCCTATTGCAGCCAAAATGTGCCACCTGCAATTTTTTTTTTATTTTTCCCGTGATCAGCGAACACAAATGAACACTTTTATGAGACAGTTTTTTTTTTTTTTTTATGCCTGTGGGAGTTGAAGGCCATATTGCTCAGAGCAGCCCAGGGGTTAAGGTAGAACTAATTCTCTTGATATTTTTCCTTAATATTTTAAATGAAGGATTCTCATTACTATAGCAAATGCAAAATTATCTATATATTTAGATCTATAATGCTTCTTTATGTTTAAATTCAGACTTGCTGAAAGGTGGTCAAATACTTCAATGCATCCTAGCTCAGACTTTACCATTGATGCCCAGTATGAGTTTGCCAAGTTCATCAACTCGTGTGGGAGTGAGCTGAGCCACCACGAGGGTTTGTGTGTCCTGGAGAAGCCAGGATGTGCTGTGGCATTTAACCCATCAAGGAAATGTGTGAGTTGACCATTGTCATTTCATGAATAACTGAACAAGTGCACATTACTTTGTGTAGAAAATATTATATAGGAACACTGTCTATACAACAAACAAATTACTGAAATCAATAATAACAATGTTGCACCTTCATTTTTGGTATTGCAGGAAAGGATAGTAAATGCTCATGATGTTCATTTTGCCGTGAAGAGTTGTGGTCAGTTTCACGCAGAGCGTCTGCCTGTTATTCAGTCTACTTGGTTGAAGGATGCTACCAACTATGCCATCTATAGTGATGTTGAAGGTTAGTTACAACAGCTGGTGGTATCTAGTATTTTTATAATTATTCTACAAATGTTAGAAAATATATATACTGTATTGCATGTTGATAATTGCAGATTATTGGCTGATGTTAAATTTTGCACAAATATTTACTATGAGAGTTTGTGTAGAGGGAACAAGAGTAATTAGAAGCATAACATATGAGATTTTGGTTGACAATATTCAAACAGGATAGTGGTTTTTAATGTGTATTTAAAATAGTTTGGTTACAGCATTCGGATGTTAGAAATGGTACGATGGTGTCAAGATAGGTTGAGACAAGGATGCTTGTTAAGTGCTGTTGGCAGAGTCGGGTAGGACGTAGTGCTGAAGTGGCCGGAGATGGAGAGCCTGTGCATTGCTTGGAGCTGAGAACCGAGAGCTTGAGTAAAGCCAAGGTTAGAGAGCTCAAAGGATGGAGAGAGCAGAGAACTCAAAGGAGGGTGGGAGTAAAGAGCTTGGATGAGGGTGAGAGCAGGGAGCTCGAATGCAGCTGGGAGTGGCTCTCTGTTCTGCAAGCGAGGGTTGTAGCATCTGGTGTTGGAACTCGACTGATGATGCTGTATTTCCCACCGTGTTATATCTGTGTCCACCTGAACTTGTGCTGTCCCCAGTTTGCTTCCATATTTGGTAAGTTGATCATCATTTGGCCTGATAAGAAACTTGTTGGTTACTTTCAGTTGTCCTAAGTGATTTGTGGAAACCTTGAAGAACATGCATTAATGTAATTACAGATGTCATTAGTGGCAAATAGGTTTGTGGATGTCATGTGAGATAAGTGAGAAACTTCAATTGCTTGCAATATAACTTGAGACCTTGGAGCAACTATATTACTCATAATACAGTTGCTACAGAAGCACGAGCCACACATGAGCTGAGAACAATAGGCTGTGTGCAAGGATCTACTCAGCTATCCTGATAAAGCTAGATACATAATGGGAATTTTTGGGACACAAAGCTACATTAAATTTTACCATATATTTTTAAAAGATACATAAAATATAATAAATTATGTTCTATGAACTAGAAGCAAAACAAGTAAAATTTATTCTCCAGAAACTTTAAAGACAGAATCCTAGATGATGTTCTGAAGAAAATATGTCATTGGGGTCTCTTATGGTACAGTAGCTCAAAATATACTCATTCTTGTTTCTGGTAAAGTTGCTTTCCTCAAACATCTTGTTATTTTTTCTCGTTCTCCTTGTAGTTTCTACTAATTTTCCCTTCCTTAGTTACCCATTCAATATCCAGTTGATCAAAGTCACCAAGTACTAGGAGGTTACTCCTCAAATCACTAACTGCCCTCTTATATATATTGGCATTATATTATTCCACTTTTAACCTTTTACGTATTTTGTAATTTTTCACTTTTCCTAGTGTTGAATAAATCATTTTATATTCATTGTAATTACCGTCTATCCCTATTTGCTTCTAAATTATTATTGTTCCTGCTACTTCACTGAATTAATGCCGATTTAAATCATATACTAGTGTGTAGCAGAACGTGACGAGAGTTATTCGTGTTTAATGCATTACAATGACTTGACACGTCCAAGAAACTTGACTACACTTTGTTAACAGATGCCGCCTATGGTACAGCATCACTGGGGATCCCCAACACTGAAAGAGGTCACTGCGGCAAGACGATGGCCATTATTCGACATGCAGCACAACTTGACTCCTTCCAATGGTTGGCGGTGGTTGATGATGACACCCTCATCAGGTCAACTGTCTCCAGCCTTTTCATTCATTATTGGCCTTGATGTTAATATTTTAGTTAAATTTTCATCCCATTTAAATTATGCTGCAGAGACTGTAGCACTGTCAGTAAAAATGCTGCAAATAAAAGTGGATAGATACATTTTAACCCTTAAGCTGCTAAGGGGTCCTGAGGAGATTTACACCCCTGTGCGCAAGAAAAAAAAAAATCTGGGGGGAGCCCCTACGGCTCCCCGGAGCTATCCATGGCTGATATGGATACCCTGACTATTTTGCATCAGTCGATGTGGGTGGAGTTCTAGGCCTACCGGGGACCACGAGCCAGAACCTGGCCCCCTCAGAGAGGCACGAGGAGCAATGGCCCATAGAAATGCACATGTGATTTGGAGCATTCTATATCTGCCATCGACTGGGACAGGGACCCAGAAAGGTAAGCGCCACAAAACAAACCCCTATTCTGGTTAACAACAAAAATCGACAAACGAGTGGACAGAACTCCCCCATGAAAACGAACTAACAAGCATGACGTCACACGAGCCACGCAGCATGTCTTCGCAGCTCCCCCCTCCCCGGGAGGGGGAAGGGGGAGCTCCCCACCCTGCGTTCTAGGGTGGGGAGCCTCCTTCGCTGCTCCCCTCCTCTCCAGCATGGGCGCCCTGGCCGCCTCCGGCGGCTACGGACTCGAAAGCTTGCGTCATGGCCCTTCAGCGCCTATGTTCTGCAGGTGAGTTGGTGCGGTCTGGCGTCTCCTTCGTCCTGACACTGTTTTTGTTTTTGGAAGTAGGAATGGGTGTACATATGTACTTGAGAACGTGAACCGTATCACCCGAGGTGCCTACTGCAGGGCTATTAGCCCATACTGGGCAGCTCTTGTTCTCTCCACCTGATTCCTTCCTCGGTTCACGGGTGTATGTGGTTCCTTCCATGTCAGCTGCACTTGTGGCGGTGGACTTGCACGCTTGTGGCATTTTCGTTTTGGTCCTGCGTTTTCTTTTCCCTCCTGGGGCTGTCATAGGATTGGCTTGCGGAGGATGTAGAGGTGCTTGGGGCCGTTCCTGGGTCTGGCACCTTGGTTTCTGCTGCTAGCTTTCGGTATCGATGTTCCTTCTGTGACGTTTCGCAGGCTGTCTCGTGCGTTGTTTCACCTCAGGCCTGCTTATGCACTGCCTATGCCGTCCTGGTCTTTGGACAGGGTGCTCTCCTGTTTTTCTTCTCCTTGGTGGTTATGGCTCCTTGGGGTCAGGTTTGCTTTGCCTCGGCTCTCTTTTTTTTTTTTATGTTGGCATTGGCCTCTGGGGGTCATGTGGCAGAGCTTCATGCTCTTCTCAGGCGCAGTGTTTTTTGGCTCTTATGGTCTTGGTCATAGGTTTCTTCGTCTGCGGCCGTTCTCCCTTTTTCTGGCGAATGTTGTGCCTGCTGCTTTCTGGAGAGGTCCTTGGGTTGTTGTCTCGACTTCGTGTTGAGGAGTGGTTCACCGACCGCCTCTCGGGTATGTCCCCTTGTTTTCTTAGGTAGTCTTTGGTGAAGTAGCTCCGGGGAGCCGTAGGGGCTCCCCCCAGAAAACCAGCGTTGAATGTAATGAAACGCCATTTTCTGGGTGAGTCCTGGAGGCTCCCCGGCACCCTCCTGCCCTCTGGTAGGCGTTTTTTTCGCGGTTTTGATATCCAGCCTCAGAACTGGGGTGGGGATCGCCGGCGCGGGGGTCTGGGGCTCCCCCTCCCCTCTCCCGGGGAGGGGGGAGCTGCGCAGACATGCGGCACGGCTCGTGTGACGTCATGCTTGTTAGTTCGTTTTCCTGGGGGAGTTCTGTCCACTCGTTTGTCAATTTTTGTTGTTAACCAAAATAGGGGTTTGTTTTGTGGCGCTTACCTTTCTGGGTGCCTGTCCTGGTTGATGGCAGATATAGAATGCTCCAAATCACATGTGCATTTCTATGGGCCATTGCTCCCCGTGCCTCTCTGAGGGGGAGCCAGGTTCTGGCTCGTGGTCCCCGGTAGGCCTAGAACTCCACCCACATCAACTGATGCAAAATAGTTAGGGTAACCATATCAGCCATGGATAGCTACGGGAAGCCTCCGGGACTCACCCAGAAAATGGCGTTTCATTACATTCAACGCTGGTTTTTTAATTATTTTGTCTTCTAAAAATGTTAATTTGTGTTCCCTGTGCACGGGAAAAAAAAATCGTAGGTGACATATTTTGGGCGTAATAGACCGAGGAAGTCTGGCAAAAAGTGGGTGTTGACAGAGCAGTCATCAGAGCCGGTCAGCGTCACTCGTGCTGACAGGTGGGAGTTGCCACAAAGATATTATCACTTAATTATTTCAATGTCTTTGATTGATTTTTTCTTGTTTTTTTGCAGTAATATTATTCAATAGTGTGTATTGTGATATATTTATATAATAAAAGGGGTGAATAATTGCTATACTCAAAAGTATGGTGTGCATATTATTGATTCAATTATTATGTTCATAAAACAATAAACAAATAGTTTTGCTGTTATTACACTCTATACACACGTTATATATAAGTATCTGCATGTTTTGTTCACCATAACGAACCACTAAATTGGAATTGAGAGTCAAAAAGCAGTGAGGAGTGACCGCCACACACCAGCAAGCCACTCGCTGCCACTCCCTCAACAACGCCTCACTCGCCCACTTTCTCCTTCCACCATCCTGTTTTATATTTTATTCACAATATACAGACGTTATATATAAGTATGTATATGTTTTGTTCACCACAACTGTACAACTAAGCTGATATAGTTAGTTCAGGCACTAAGAGACTTCGCTACACACAGTCAGCTGGCGGCTGCCTCCCGCACTCATTCAAGTTCACATGCACTACAATTTCTCCCCCAACAATACTGTTTGCAGCGCTATTACACTATATATACAGACATTATATATATATGTATGTATATGTTTTGTTCACCACAACTTTACAACTAAGCTGATATAGTTTATAGTTAGTTCAGGCACTAAGAGTCGTCGCTACACACACAGTCAGCTGGCGGCTCCCTCACTCATTCAAAGTCACATGCACTAAACTTTTTCCCCCAACAATACTGTTTGCAGTGTTATTACATTATATACACATATTATATATAAGTATCTACATGTTGTATGCACCGTAACTGTACACCTAAGCTTGTAGAGTGGCCAAAGAGCATAGTGGCCACCCTCTACACAGACAGACAAATCATGCAGACGACGTCACCTCCGTCACCCAAATGACTCTTCCCAGCATAATCCTTTTGCTGTTATTACACTAATACACACATTATATATAAGTATCTACATTTGTGTTCACCATAGAGAACCACTGAGCTGGTATGGTGAATGCAGACAATAACAGGTGACCACACAGTCAGTAAATGATGCTATCTCCCTCCGTCCCTCAGCATCACTCCTCCCACAGTGCTAATTATTACAACAATCCTGCTATTATCACAACCCTGGTCATTTTTATCACAGTAAGGGGTCATCTATAATATTGTCATCGCTAAATAATAGCAGTTATATATTTATTTTGACATTTTTCGGCAATGCTGTGGTCACAAGCTGAACAGCAATGCTATTTGCTCATGCTGCGTGTGCTAGCCTTGGTTGCTCCAACGGTACTGTGGCTCTCACACCTGAGAATATTGCCCACGATTTAAAAAAAAAATGGCGTTTGTTAACAAGAGCCCTGAGGAAGCTAATGTGAACCCTGTGTAGCCGCGTGCCATTTGAATCGTGCCTGGCACCCTATGGCGTATATATACTCCATGCGCACTGTGGGACATGTTACTCATGGCGTATATATACGCCATGCGCAGTTTAAGGGTTAGGGATATTTTTTGTAAATATTGTTAGCCACACCATACTTATATTTTCTCATTGTTTGTTCAACAATGATTTAAAAAAGAATGTTAGCAATTATTAGAGTTTTGGGTAATGTTTTAGAGCAGTCATGGTTTAATAATTTATTCAGTAAGACCAACCACTGAATTTTGCATTTTTCTCTCTTTCAGTGTTCCTCGTCTTTGTGCGCTATTATCATGTTACAATTCCAAGGACCATGTTGCTATTGGAGAGAAATATGGATATGGGGCAACATCTGCACGTGGCTACGGGTACATTACAGGTGGAGGCGGCATGATCTTCAGCAAGACTTTGGTAGGTTTCAAACCATAGTTCTGCAAGGCTCTGTTGCAGATGTTGCATGATTTTTACTTGGAAAACTTATTTATCTTCCTATGTACAACATTTTCTATAAGGTCTTTTCAAATACAGAATCTTTCTTCGATATTTTAGCTACTGATCAATACCACACTGATTTGTTTAACACTGTAACACTGTTTGCTGTTTTGATTCTGGAATTTGGATTGGCTGCTACATCAAATATCCTGCTGTTACTTGCATATATGAATCAAAACATCAGATAAGGATAATATGACCTCAGGAAACACAGACACTTTAGTCACTACAGTTCAGTAAATTATTATTATTACCTTGTTTCAACCATGGAGAAACAGAAAAAGAGGGGAATTAATATTGTATAATGAAGGATCATAGATCCAAAGTGATTTTTTAAATTAACAATAGCATCTGCAAAATAGCAGAGCAAATTAACAATAGCATCCGTTAATTTTTCACCTGAAAACAACAAAATAATAATTTTATGCCCATATTTAGAGGATCCTAGATCTTTAATAACAAATAAATTAGCTTAATAGAATGTTGTACAGGACTGTACACTATATGAATTTCTCAAGTCTTGCATTGAACTCAAGTAGGCTTAAATCTTATCATTACATTGAGCTTCTTCCCTCCCTCAACCATTTAGGATTTTGGGTTATTTTTAATGTATGATACTAATGTTTGGCACAGGTGGAACAGCTGGCAGTCCCTGGCACGTGTGAGTGCCCTAGCAATGACATCCCAGATGACATGTTTCTTGGAATGTGTCTCAAGCGCCTTTCTGTTCCCATCGTCCATTCTTCAGCCTTCCACCAAGTAAATAAGTTAGCTCGTATATGTTCAGCAATATTATGTTTAAATCGTTGTGCTTTTACCCTCTTTGAATACTTGCAACTTTTACCATCTTTCATTTTGTTTCCTCCTAGGGTCGCCCTATTGATTATCCAAAGGAGCTACTGGAAGGGGAATTGCCTGTATCGTTCCACAGGTACTGGATGGTGGAGCCTCGTCAGGTGTATGCCCGCTGGCTTGACCACTCCTCTGACAAAAAGCATTCTTCTGGTGGCGATTTCTTACCAGTCAGTGTTCACACGGAACTGTAGGACATCCTGTGTGTGTCTTCTCCAGTTACCACTTTGGAATTCTAATGCCACTATAATTATTTGAATATATTTATAATAAAGTGGTCGAGTTTTGGAAGAATACACTGTAAACTAAATCTTAGGAAATTAATGTAATACCAAATTCAACGTTCTAAGCCTATGAATAACTTCACAAACAGAAGACGAGTATAAATATCATGTACAGTGGAACCTCAGTTTTCATAGTTAATCCGTTCCCAGAGACGTTACGAAAACTGAAAGGAATTTTCCCATAAGCAATAATGTAAATTGAATTAATATTTTTGGGGGTGTGGAACGGATTAATTTAAAAATACATTTTATACAGAATATCACTCATATGTTTCACACACAAAACAATCAGGTATAAATTTATACCATAAATAAATAAAGTGATCATTTAACTGCACTTTACCTTTACTGGGGACTCTTGTTGGCGTACGGGAGATAGGGAGGAGGGAGAAGGGAAGAGGGAGGGAGGAGTGGTGTTGGTGTATGGGGAGGGTGAGGAGGAGGGAGGAGTGGTGTTGGTGTATGGGGAGGGTGAGGAGGAGGGAGGTGGTGGTGAGACTGTCCCCTGGTCGTCTTAAATGCTTTCATATCTGCATCAATTGTTCCAGATTTTCCTTTTACACATTTCACTGCCACTTATGTGGCAGCCAGTCAGAACCAGTCACTTAGTCACAAGTCAGTCAAGCATTCACAGTTAAAACCAATCACAGGCAGTCATAACCAAAGGCAGTCAAGCATTCACAGTTGTGGTAGCAACCGGTTAGGCATTTACAGGCATTCAGCCATTTACAGTCAATCAGGCTTTCACACAGTAAACAACAAGTGTTTAATGTCGGGCAGTCTGCCTCCTGATAGCAAGGAAGCCTTCCGTATTAATACTGTCCAGATGTAGCTGGGGGGGGGGGGCCGTGTGGGGGATGAAGATAGCAGGGAGGGTCCGGTGGTGGTATGGGGGTAGTGGGGAGGGTACAGAGTGGGGGATGGAGGTTCACTCCCACCATCCATCCAGTCCACTCACTATCCATCTTGGGACCCATGGCACGATATATAATAAGAACTTTACTGTTCAGAAAACAAAAAGGCAGAAACTATGAAATTCTTCACAAAGAATTCAAGCGCGGGCATCACCTCAGCAGGACGCTGGTAAACTGAGGTGTGCCTCGCCATGATGCCACGAGCTTGGTGGACCTGGATGTGTATAAACGGATTCTGAACACCGAGGCAAATAACGAGTACCGAATCAAATTTTTAGGAGAAATTGACTACGAGTACTGAAAATTACGAGAACCGAGGCTCCACTGTATTGCTGCACAAGCCGTTGCAGAGTTTTGGTGAGGTAGCAAAGTAAGATTCTTTTTCAATACATGAAAGTGTTATAATATTTACCCAGACACTGTATACTGTATGTATCTTGCTGTCATGTAATTTGAGTTAAGAGCACTCACTATTGGTAGAAGCTTAACAGTTCTCATTAATGGTAAATATATTATGTTTTATTTTGTTTGTACAAGACAGAGTGATAAAACAATTATTACTGTATATCAATTGAAAATTACAACTGGGTCATCAAAACTGAATGGTGTTTGACATTTCTTTCACTTTGTGCAAAATGTTCAAGAAAAATATTAAAGTGTGTGGCATGAATTTTCATATTTCCAGTCTTTGATGGGGAGTGCTTCCTCACCCACATGTACGAGTGAAATGAGAGCAATGATGAAAATAGAATACATATACAATATTTTGCTGTGGCTAATATCATAACATTTTAGTTGCATCAGTGATGAATGTCTCTGGTGCTGAAGTTACCCAGATGACTGTACTCACAAGCATGTATGTACTCAGAATAAAGGGGGATAGAACAAACTTTCAAAATATCATTTTAATGGAAATTCTACACCAAGGTACATTAACAACAACTATTTATAAATATATCTTGCTGGGAAAACAGTGATGCTATAAATAACTTAAATCAACAGTCATTTACTATTAAAGCAACATTTATAGGATTAAAACAGGAATGATAAACAGTATTGTACACTACCAACACATTTTTCCCATTTCTCGTACACATAAGATGCTTAAGTAATGAGAAAGGTTGGCTGTGCTTGCTAAAAAAAAAATTTTATTACAAAAACAAGAAATTTTGCATACAAGGTAAAAGTTTACATCCAGGTGTGATGCTTAAGCCAAGAGTCTCCCTAGGGCATGTCATGTTAATTTATGTGAATCAGGTTAGTGGATGACAATATTAGAAACTCAGGTATCAGAGACCTGTATACATCACAAATATTGTGACATGAACACCAGCATGTTCATATTTAGAAGACAATATATATATACAGTATAGCACAAAGTATATGTAGTGTACACCATTAGGCCTGGTGCACCTGCAGCCAGTAAATAATGTGTGTCACAGCAGGTAACTGTGTATATATTTCATGTGAGGGAGAGCTCTCCCTGAAGTGTATTGGATGCAGGGAGGACGTGAACTTGCTGAGCTTTACTGAAGTTGTAAACTTGTCCTGGAGTAAAAGGCTGGAGACGTGGAACTGATGATGCAGTGCCTACGTACTCCATCTTCCTTCCTCCATCTATGAAAACCAGGAAAAAATTTTTACATGCATTTTTTGTAAGGCAAAATAATTGGTTGTATCATTCATTTAGCTAAACATACTATATTAAAATCTTACTAAAATTGAAGAATAATCCAAGAGTAGTTTCTAATTAAAGTTCACATCTTTCACAAAATTATCTAGATAATTTCAACAGTTCCTAGACTGTCAAAACTCAGCCTTATGCCAAATGTTTCCTGGTGACTATCTTACCTGTTAGTGACCACTGCCATCTCAACTTCACTAAACATGCACCTCCATTAAAGAAATTTATTAAGCTCCCCTTTACAACTGATGCATTCAGCACCTATATCTCTCATAGTTATTGGTAGGGAGTTGAAAAATCATGAACTTTTAATGTTAGTACAAAGAAAACTTGATACTTCGAATCACAATATTTTGGAAACCTTGATGGTCCAAAAGAATGTCACTCAAAACCATGGTTATAAGGGTAATTAGTGCAGCATTAACAAACTGAACTAACTTGTTGAAGAATACAAATTCTTTTAAGGTTTATCATTTCATATTTTTTTATAATCAAAATATATTATCTGGGGGAAGCCCCTTCGGCTCCCTGGAGCTTACCCAGGCTGATATGCTAATGTCAGACTTTGGCATCAGTCATGTGTATGGAGTTCTGTGGACCTACCGGGGACCACGAGCCAGAACCTGGCCCCCTCAGAGAGGCAAGGGGGAGCAATGGCCTATAGAAACCCCCGTGTGGTTGGAAGCATTCTATGTCTGCCATTGATCGGGTCAGGCACCCAGAAAGGTAAGCATCCCAAAACAAACCCCTATTCTGGTGAAGATATTGCTAACAAAAGCCAAACAAGTGGATAGAACTCCCCAAAAAGAAACGAGCATGACGTCACACATCGCCACGCCGCTGTCTGCACAGCTCCCACCTCCCCAGGAGGGGGAAGGAGGAGCCCAAGACCCCTTGTGCCGACTATCTACCCTTCAGTTCTAAGGTTGATGCTAGAGGCGGAGGCACATGTTGTGTGCTTGGCTCCAGGGTTTCTAGCACTGTGCTTTGAGTGTTGTGGCTGTTTTCAAGGGGTGCGAGAGCCAGGAGTTATTCTATGGTACTCAGGCTGCATGCGCCAGGGTTATCATTCCTAGGTGTCCTGTAAATACTGCCCTTGGAGCTTGGGGCCACTTTCCACAAGTTGCTCGGGACCTGCCTCTCCTGGGTTGTATTACTGCTCGGTTTTTTGGCCACCCTTTTGGGTGCTTGGGCATTTTGTCTTCCTTGTTTACCTTAGGGTAAGAGGCGGTTTGCGCTGGTGCGGGGCACAGGGCACTGCGCAGCTTGTTTTTTGCCATTCACAGTGGCCTTGCGCTTCTTTTCCTTCCTGGAGCTGTCTTCGGACTGGCTTGGGGAGGATGTGGGGGCACTCGGGGCTGTTCCTGGGTCCGGTGCCTTGGGCTTGGCTTCTCGTGCATCGGCTGCCTTGTTGAAGCCCTTTCCACCGATCTTGCAGGATGCGGTTTCACTGTTTTATGCTCCCCGACTTGTGTGTCGGCAGGCGGTGCTTGCCTCCTCTCAGGAATCTGCCTGGGCCCTGGCTCTCAGGTTGTATTCGCCTTTTTGTAAAACGCTTTTTGCCCCTTCGGCCGTAGCGCAGTATATTCAGGCTGCTTCGGCCAGTTGCCGTCCTATGTCGGACTTGTTGGTTCTCCGGGGGAGTGGGGGGGGTTCCCGATGGGGTTGTGCCAGGGCTTGGGGGTTCAGCTCGTCATGGTAGGCCACAAGTGCCAGTTTCGTGTTCGGCTCCGCCTTCGTCTGGTCGGCGCGGTGTTCGCTTTGTGCAAGGCTCTGGGTCTTGTAAGGAGTGCCGGCCCTTTCGCGGTTCGCCCCATTGACGGGGCGATGGGGGAAAGGATTTCGCTGTTCGCTCATGCCTGGTTCCACGATTTGCCCTAGTTTTAGGCGTTTTGGGTCATTTCGTTCATTTCGTTCGGCCTGCAATGGCGTTGGGTGGTCCCTCCTCATTCGGGGGGTTCGAGGCTGGTGGGGTAGGCTTCTTCCCCCTGCGCTCCGTCGAGTAGCCTTGAAATGAAACGCCCTTTTCTGGGCGAGACCCGGAGGTTCCCTGGCATCCCTCCCTCCCTCCCTCCCTCCAATTGGCGGTTTTTCGATTGTTTTGACATCCAGCCTCAGAACTGAAGGGTGAATAGCCAGCTCGAGGGGTCTGGGGCTCCCCCTTCCCCCTCCCGGGGAGGGGGGAGCTGCGTATACAACGGCGTGGTGACGTGTGACATCACGTTCGTTTGCTCGTTTCTTTTAGGGGAAGTTCTATCCACTTGTTCGGCTTTTGGTAGCAATATCTTCACCAGAATAGGGGTTTGTTTTGGGATGCTTACCTTTCTGGGTGCCTGAACCGGTTGATGGCAGATATGGAATGCTTCCAACCACACGGGGGTTTCTATAGGCCATTGCTCCCCATGGCTCTCTGAGGGGGCCAGGTTCTGGCTTGTGGTCCCCGGTAGGACCACAGAACTCTATACACATGACTGATGCCAAAGTCCGACATTAGCATATCAGCCTGGTAAGCTCCGGGGAGCCTCCAGGTCTCACCCAGAAAATGGCGTTTCATTACATTTAACGCTAGTTTTTTGTTTTGTGTTCTAACTTTTGCAGAAAGAAAACCCTCCAACACTTTGCAACAAATCAAGCTGTAAAATTACAATGCCACTCTGCTTAATTAGAGCATTTCAGGCTAGTCCCCATCCATTATAGCAGAAACCTTTATTTCTACATCTAAATTGCCTGGTCACTCCCTTATGCAAGGTCCCCAAACACCCTCAGGATATTGCTAATTTTGAATTGGCTCGAACAAACTTCTCACTTACAATGCAGCAAGGGTCTTTTTCATGTTGCCCTTGCCAGGACACATATGGAAGAGAAACACTGAAGAATTCTTAAGCTGTCAGAGACTCTGCCACGGGGACCTTGGCCCACAGAATCAACACAAGGTATAGTAGCCCTGAATAAACATCCAGACACATGCAAGTCTGTTTGAACTTCTAAAGGAGGCAGCATATGCAACATCAGCAGAAATTTTTAATATATTCTGTATTTTTTTTTTAAGACTGAACCATGAACCATACACAAAAATAAAATATACCTTTGGTTGTAGTCTGTTTGCTGTCAGCAGGAATGTATTTTGACAGTCGTACAGATGGTAATGGTAAAAACCCTCCAGTGAGGGGCATGACATCCATGGTGACACACTGCCGCAGCCCACCTTCTAGTGTCAATACTCCTACAAAAGTAACCAGAATTACAATTCCTGACCTGGTGCTGGAATACTTGCTATGCTGACAATTATTCTGCCAGAATAATAGAATAATAATGCATGATGCTGCACTCACCTGCAGTTCTGCCACACACTGCCCACATGGTCTGGTCTGCTAATACCTCATACATGATCGAGTGTTGTGACGTGTGTTGCAATGCTTGCGTTGCACTGGTCCCATCTGTTTCGGTAGTGGGAACCTTCGATGACACCTGCTGTAAAGCAATGTGTAGGTGGCACATGTTGCCAGCACGACACAGCTCTGATCCTTTGCTGGGCTCCACCCGTGCTCGAATGGTGTACAGAGTCTGTGTGAATAACAAAACATTTTATTAAACTCGGTCATCTACCACAGAACACATTTATTAAACGTTTTAAAATAACGGGGGCCAGATTCACAAAGCAGTTACGCAAGTACTTATGAACGTGTATATCTTTCCTCAATATTTGACGCCTTTGGTTACATTTATTAAACAGTTTACAAGCATGAAAACTTCCCAATCAACTGTTGTTATAGTTATAAACAGCCTCCCGGTGCTTCGGAGCACATTAACTGTTTAATAATTGTAAACAAAGTCGCCAAAGACTGATAAAAGAAGTGCAGGTTCGTAAGTGCTTGCGTAATTGCTTCGTGAATCTGGCCCCAGGTTCCTATTTTATTAGGAAATCATAAATTTATGTTGCCTATTCTTTAGTATTTTAACAAAGAACGAAAGACAATGAAAGTAATGAAAACATTAAATAAGAAAATGTTTGATGTGCTAGATTTAGTAGACAAAGCATATAGGAAGGAAGAGTGGAATGGAGTAAGACTTATTCAAAGTGCCATTGAAGAAGAAATGGAAAAATAGAACAAAATGAGTGATGCTCACAATAAAATGGTCCCACTGTTTATGAACACCTTGTGGTTAGCACAAAAATTAACTTATTCAGTTTCTGCATTTTATATCATCAGAATTTGTGGCAAAGGTTTGAACTTTCATTACATTTTCAAAGTTTAGCTTCAACTATCATCTTCATGAAATCTCAAGTATTACATCATCACCAATTCAAGACAATTTGTGAAGAAATTACAGCCAATTACAATGCTTTTGTTTTGTTTACACAAGTCCAATGGTTAAGTTGAGGAAATACACTGCACAATTCCTCAAACTCTTGAACAAAATTGTAATCTTGTAATTGTCAAGCACAATTATATATTTTATATTGGGAACCATTATAAGTTATCAAATGTACTGTACTGTTAGCACTTGTTAAAGTACTGTATATGATTAGATTGTGTAATATACTGAACTCTGCATAAATATTGTGAAAGGTGCATGGGATTTTTCTTGCAGTTTACACACTAATTGGATTATGTTCTTTTATTATTTCTTAAAAAAAAATATACTTTTTCCATCTAACTTCACAGAGCTATTGTGTAGCACAATGTTTTCCTACAAAAATGCCTTGCATTATGTAAGAGACTACTGCAGGAGATAATAGTTCTGTACCTGGTCACTTTATGACATGTAATCTGACAATACAGTGAATAAAATGATTTTCAATACTAAAACACTGCCAAATCCTTACCTTATAATCCTGAAGATCAAATGTATAGGTGTAGGTTCTAGAGTCCTCTTGAAGTGGCTGAGAATTCTCATGTAGTGGACGGTAGCGAAGTGTAAACTCCATCTTGATATGTGGTGTGACTGTCTCTGTATAGTTTACTTCCATCCCCCACATGTAACTAGCAGCTTGTTCTGTGCATACCACCTACAATAACAACAAAAAACAGCGTTGAATGTAATGAAACGCCATTTTTCGGGTGAGACCCGGAGGCTCCCCGGAGCTTTACCAGGCTGATATGCTAATGTCAGACTTTGGCATCAGTCATGTGTATGAAGTTCTAGGACCTACCGGGGACCACGGCCAGAACCTAGCCCCTTCAGAGAGGCATGGGGAGCAATGGCCTATAGAAACCCCCGTGTGGTTGGAAGCATTCTATGTCTGCCATCGACCGGGTCAAGCATCCAGAAAGGTAAGCGCCTCAAAACAAACCCCTATTATGGTTAAAATTGCTACCAAAAGCCAAACTAGTGGATATAACTCCCCAACAGAAAATAAGCAAACTAGTGTGACGTCATACGTCACCACGCCGCTGTCTGCGCAGATCCTCCCTCCCCGGGAGGGGGAAGGGGGAGCCCCAGACCTCTCACGCCAGCTATCCACCCATCAGTTCTGATGTCAAAACACGCAAAAAACTGCCGGCCGGAGGGAGGGAGGGATGCCGGGGAGCCTCTGGGTCTCACCCAGAAAATGGCGTTTCATTACATTCAACACTGGTTTTCTGGGGGAAGCCCTGTCGGCTCCCCGGAGCTAACTACCCACAGAGGAACGTCAAAGGGACGGAACCGGGAGGCGGACACCATTCACCCCTCAACGGAAGAGAGACAACTGGCAGCAAACGCCAACTCAAGGCGACACAGCCCCAGAAGGCCCGGGAACAACATGAGACAACGAGCAGCAAGGCCCCTGTACGAATACCAAAAGATCCGTGCCCGAATGACAACAAGGACACGCCACACAGACGGCAGGAAGAGCAGCGAAACCACGAACGCCACGGGCATGGGGAAAGAATACAGACAGGCTAGCAGTAATAACACGGTGGACAACCTGGGACACCTTCACCCTCGAACAGGAAAGCACGGAACCGGATCAACTCAAAGCGCACCCCAGACATAGAGGCCGCGGCACGCAAATAACAGCAGAGGGCCGCCACTGAACACAAAACACGACGCACCCCCCCGCCCGACCAACCAAACACCAACAAACCAAGGACCCCTCCTCCGGAACGCAGCATCTATCCCGTGCCACAAAAGATGGAGACGGCTGCCACCGAACAACCAAAACGCCAAGACTGAACCAAGACTGAAGGAGCAAAAAACCCCTGCGGAGGAGAGCAAGAAGCCCAGCGACCCGACCCCCAGAGGCAAATGCCAACAAGAAAAAAGAGCTGACAAAAAACAAACCAGAACCGAAGGGGCACCACCAACCGAGGAGAAGAAAGAGCACGCTGACCAGAGACCAGTACGGTGCAAGCGGCGCACGAAGAGGCCGGAGGTGAAACAATGCACGAGACAGCTTACTAACGGTGCAGAAACAACACCAAGACCGAAAGCAAGTCGAAGCGTCTCTGCCAGCGCCGCACGAAACGAAGCGACAGTATGTGGCAAGACGACGGCTCCCAACCCCCACCAGAAAAACCAAGCCGACGCTAACAACCGCAGCCACCTAAGAAGGGACAGGAGGAATAGGAAGGATCGCCAAAATACACCATTCTGCCTCCAAGAAGAAGCACGCAGGTGAGACACCAACAACGAAGCCACCCGACCACCAACTGGAGGCGAGACACGCGAGGCAGAACATAACCAGCCCCGACAAGGCTCATTCGAGCCTAGGGAAAGGTGGAGCCGTAGGAAGATCTCGGGCGCGACCACCAAAGAAGCCCAAGCCGGCAAAAAGGAGATGGAATGTCTGTGCCACACCACAACCTGACACAGGAACAAGGACACACCACCGCAAAACACGTTACCAATACACACGTGCAGCAGCAACATGCACCACACACAACACACAACATGTATGTAGCAACTTGTCTCTGCGAAGGCAGAGAACGGTGCAGGCAGACTCCAGGCTGACCCCAGACAGGGCCAACGGAGACACGACAGAGCCCAGCAGGCCCAGGAACCTGCACACCAGGCAACCGACGGCGGAGATACCTGCTCGATACCCGCTCGATGGGGTTCTGGGAGTTCAATTACTCCCCACGCCCGGCCCGAGGCTAGGTTTGACTTGTGAGAGGTTGGTCCACCAGGCTGTTGCTTGGAGTTTCCTGCAGGCCCACATACCCACCACAGTCAGGATGGACCGGAACCTCTATTAGAAAACAGGCAAGTGTTCTCTTGAAGATGTCCATGGATATACCGGCAATATGTCTTATGCTCGCAGGTAGGACGTTTAACAACCGCAGACCTCTGATGTTTATACAGTGTTCCCCAATTGTGCCTATGGCACCACTGCTCTCCACTGGTACTATCCTGCATGTTCTTCTATATAGGCAGGATCAAGCCAATGCTTGGTCCCGCCTATATGGACGATGCGGGGTTTGAGCCAGAGCTCAAACCTCGCAAGCACAACCAGGCGAGCCCAAATAGGTGAGTACATAACCAACACCACAACCCACACGCCTCATAACACGAAAGAGGTAGGTCCCCTGAATGACTCTAGCATGGGTTTCATGACTGTCCCTTTTCCGGGTTGAAAAGGGACAGTCACCGGTGTGCAGATGGTCTCATTTGTACATAAATATACCTAAATAAAGACAGGTATATAAACATCTCTGCATCCAGTGCCCAGCCAAAAGACGCCAGACCGCAGAAACTCACCTGGCGAACGAAGGGACGAACGTGACACGACCCAACAGTGCCAAGAAGATCCTGGAAGCACTGCCAGGTGAAGAAGCCAGAGCCAGACATGCAGGAGAGCAGGGGAGAGGTGAAGGAGGAGGCCCACATCCCTGACACAGGGAAAACCTCGGCATCCTCCCCATAGCTGTAATCCAGGACACCCCTGGAGCGACGGGGCACACGTCAGGGAGAAGAGTGAGAGGTGAAGCACCCGATAAAAAAGGGCGCAAAACACCAGCACTGAAACACACCGCCCAGACCAAAACAAACTCCCACAGCGCAAGCGCAGGACACGCTGGCCGAACCGCACAACCCGCTCTGCGGGAAGGCGCCAACTAGGGCTACTGCACAAGAAAAGTAGCCAAACAGAACGCAACCCTAGGGAACCGCTAATTAGAAAAAACAACCCATCACATGGGACAGAAGCCAAAACAGGAAGCAGCGACAACATAACCGGCCAACGAAGCGAAGACAAGGAGCCCAATAGGAACCTAACCGGGCCAAGAGTAGCCCAACTGGGCTACAAGTAGCCCAATCCGGCGACCCGGACTATGAGTCGACAGACGTTCCAATAATACGGGAAGTAGCGAAAACCTACCCGAACCCTCGAGAACACAGAAGCAAACACCAGTCCCGAAAGGCACACACTGGCACAGTTGCACCCGAGACCAAAAGTCATGTAGAACCCCAATAATGGGGAAACATGACGAAGATACCCAGTCCACCCCAAAAAAGGGGGGAGCAACAGAGAAGAGCACCCACCTACAGGACGGAACCAACCAGCTCAAAGGACAAGAAACCGAGCCCGGGGAGGGGCCGACGTCCAACAACTCGTACGGCGAGGGGGGAGGGAAAACCCCACTCCGCGTAACCGCAAGCCCCGCCTAGAGGGGAGAAAAAAAACCCGCGGGGTCCTACGGGGCCTAGGTCCCCCAAGTCAGCCCCTCCCCAGCCCCGGGGAACCCACACGACAGGCCCCGGAGCCAAGCAGTCCCCCCAAAGCCCCGACCTTACCAGAAAACTGGGGCAACCGCGAAAATACTAAGGAAGGGAGCCCACTGGCAGACTCTTACAACACGGCTGGAGGAACAGGCTCGAATGCCCCTGTCACTACCCCGGAAGGGGAATTCCCCGAGACCGCCCGAGTCTCAAAACCATCGAACCCTGCCCCGAACCTACAGACGGTAGGGAACCCGATGGAGGCAGGAAGGGGGGATCCAGGGGAAAGACAAGGGGGTCGTGGAAGGAACCGAAGCAACCAACATCCCCAAGCCCCAACACGAACCAAAACGGGGCAGCCCCGGGGCTCCCGGGGAGCAAACAAATGAGAGCGTTGCCACCACCAAAGCTCAACATGCAACGCCCCTGCTGCCTGCACCCGCTTAAGTCAGTACACAACTGGGTAACCGAGCCACAATGAGCAACAAAACTCACAGGACTTGGGGTCGAAGGTGTCACCGACCCCACAGGCAGCAGACGGAGGCAAAACAGAGAGTCACCCTGAGACAAGGGGTGAGAACAACCCTCAAACTCGTTGGAAGCGAGGGGGGACTCCGGGGTCACATCCATCGGACCTACGCGCCCCCAGGGGTTTCCCAGGGTCCCTAGCGTTTACTAAAATAGGACTCGCACTCAGGTAATCCCAGGCAGGATACTGCTAACCGGCACCCAAAGCTACCAAACAACTTTTTAAGAACTGAACCCCCGGGACGTGTATACTCACGGGGACCTAGCAGGGGGAACCACCAGAATAATACTCAGAACACAAGGGACACAGGGGGCAAGAACGAAGGCAGACCACCCACCAGGTAGATAAACAAAAATAAAAAGAAAACCCCGCAAGAGGACAGCGTACCTAGGCGGAACAGAGCCGGCCGCCATATAGGTGAAAACAGGCTGCACAGCACCCTGCGCCCCACAAGTGCAAAACTGCCCCTTACCCTAAGGCGAACAAGGGAGACAGAACACCCGAGTACACAAAGAGCAGCCGAAAACCAAGCAGTAAACGGCCTAACAGGGGCAGAACCCAAGGAACTTGTGGAAGGTGGCCCCAAGCCCCAAGGGCAGTACTTACAGGGCACCTAGGGAAGGGAACCCTAGGCGCATGCAGCCCGAGTACTAGAGACTCGTTCCCGGCTCACGCGCCACCTAGAAGACAGACACCACACTCTAGGTACAGTGCTGAAACAACTAATGGAGCCGGAGCACACAACCGGTGCCCTTAGCATCAGCCGAAGAACTGCTGGGTGGATAGCCGGCGTGGGAGGTCTGGGGCTCCCCCTTCCACCTCCCGGGGAGGGGAGCTGC